ATATGTATGCATATATTCATTATCTATATTTATTACGCATTTCAGGTATATTACTAAAGTTTGTTATACAATAGAATGTTTATTAATGAATGGTGAAGGGAATAAAAAGAAATAAAAAGAAGAGGAAAAGTAATTTAAAAAATAAGTAAATAAAAATGAAATTGAAGAATCTTGATTTCAAATGAACAAATTCAAACTTGTAACAAATATTTCTAATTCGCTCCGTCTCCTTCGTATCTTTAGTTCATGTTGAAACTTCACGACTCCTCCATAATTTTTTGTTCACGTCAAAGCTCCATGAAAATAACAAGAGAGTCAAAGTTCTTTCTCCTCCATAGCTCTATAGTCCCACATCAAAAGTCCACAAAGGTAGCAAAATAGTCGAACCTCATTTTTTCTGTAGCTTTGTGGTTTCCGGTTGAAGTTTCACGAAAGCGACGAAAGAATCAAAATACTATACTTTTCGAAATGGCAAATGTGAATAATCGTGTTTTCTCTTTTTTACTAAATTTTTCGTTCACTGACTAATCTACCATGTCAATGTTGTTATAGCCCGTTTACATCTCTTGTCATTGTTGAACTTATGGCTCTGCAATAACAAGCTCCATTTTTGTTTAAGATGTAGATCATGCAATAACTATGAATTGATTAATAGAGGTTATCATCGTCCGTATATTTATGGTTTCTTTAGCAGTGAATAACGCGAAATTGTTACCACTTCTATTCGCTCATTTATATCGATATGCTGTTCACATCAATCAATGGACATGATAAGAAGCGAAAGTATTCATCTTTATTAATGCGATTTACTAAACAGTTGATAGAATATAGCAAAATCCCTAGATTTCTTATCTCATCCTATTATGTTCTATCAAGTACAAATCCTGACTAAAAATTCAGACGCCCAAACACGGCTAATAGTCTTTATCCAAGTCTGTCCCATGATTTCGAAAGATACCAATTTCCTCATCGAGCTATTCCGACCGCCGGGATGGTGATCGAGTGTACTCCGCGTGCGAGCGAACTCTTCGCAACCCATGAGGAGCCACTCCCATTAAAGTTGAATTACCACAATGTGGATGAACTTGGAAATCACTCAGCATGCTCAAATTTAATGAGGGTCGAAAGATTTCTCGACGATCGCATCCGAATTTAGTGCCCTCGAAATTCACAACGGGACCAGTTCGTGTTTGGATAAACCATAGATTGGATAAACACGAAGAGGATCTTGAATACCAATGACCTAATAATTTTCATTTTATTTTAAATTGGAAGGAAAAAGACACATTGATATTTAAAGTAATGAACGACAGGTCCACATCTTAGAAACGACAAGTCGCTTCGAGACAAACGACAGCGTAAATGCCCCCCCGGGGCCCCCCTCGACACCCCCTACGCGTCGTTTTGGATGGTCCCAAAATGTATTCAATTCGCGTTGTCGTTGACCGGAATCGAACGACACGAGTTGAGGGAACCCATACGGCGCTCTCCATGGGCCGAATTGGGCCTTGGCCCATTTAGGCCCATTTTATATGGGCTCTTGCTGCTACACGAGCCCATCTGCGGCCCAGCATTGTCCATCGTTGGGCGATAATTGTACGGAGAGGGAAGGGCAAAGAGTTGATGTTAGTCATGTCCTGTCGGAAGTAGCCGCCGGGGTTCGACCGGAGCGGGCCGAGCGACCAGTTCAAGCTGGTTCGGATCTCGAGTACTTGGCTCCGAGAATATTGATAGGAACTGTCGTTGTGGAGCCTCTCACGTGGTAACGCCTTTCGCTTTTTCCTCCTTTTTTACGAGAATAAAGTGAATTACCGACTTTTCAGTCAATTAAAGAAACTTTACGCGTAGGCGTGTACTCGTGTCATGCGCAATCGAAATTTTAGAATCTAAATTTTTTTATTTCCAAAATTAAGCGGGCAATTAGGACCCTAAATGAATAGTATAGCGGAAAAACAAGAAGAAAGAGGAAGAGAGAAACGTTGACCTTGATTCTAGTTCTTTTTTACACGGGGTTTGGGGAATCCCCCCACGATGTGCATGCACCAAAGACAACTCAACGCCTCGTTGAAGATGCCCACGTAGTTGGACCAAAAGGAAACGTTGACATTAATCCTAGCTCTTTTAATTTAGAGTGCACGTAATTCGAACCGATCTCGTCCGATAATTATACACTATCGTCCCGAATGCGCGATGTTGTGCATCGTTAATGATCCGAGCTAAAATCAGATTGAAAGATAATTTGGAGAAAAATCTTATTCGAGATATTACGTGACCGATCAATCATAAGCTCGTTATGCCTTAAATTGTTGAAAGGAGGAAGCTGGTGATGAAGTTAGATCGAGCGCGTTACAGCTGGGAGATAATCATGGAAGTCAAAGAGTTGTATGACAAGAAAAAAAAATTGGGCGCATTAATGGAAATTTCCAAATCGCGAAAATTCTTATAATTAATTAGCTTATGCAGATTTAGGAACGACTCCTCCCAAATCATAGAGCCATATATCCGAGCCAATTTTATGCTATCATAGTTTGAATTGAAATAACTACGTACAATATGCCAAGCACGATTGAATCGATTTTTTTTATCGATACGTAATCTATTTTCTTCGAGAGAACATATAACTTCGATCATTAGTTGGTCCTTACTACTAAAATTCTCTCGCAATAAAAAAGGCTCGATGCATGCGTTTTTTTTTTTTTCCTTTTTTGGAAATAAAGTCCGTGGATAAAGGATAAAAAGTCCGAGAGACGCGATAGCTCCGGCTCGTGTGATTTCAATCTCAATTTCACAACTTGATTTCATCTAGCTCCAACACAAAGTTAACGCAAGAAATAATATGTAAAAGATGAACGAGGGTGAGCGAGCAAAGGCGAATCAGAAACGAGCGAGAGCGAGGAGGAGGGCAGGTCACGAGGGAGGGGGGAGAGTCGTGAAGTGTTCGAGCGAGATTGACATGTACAGAGAAAAAATACCAAGAGAAAAATTAGGGTTTTTAAGTTTCATTGAAACCGGCTCCAAATCCGATCCAGTCGGTCCGGTCCCCGGGTGCTTCTTCACTCAGAATCGGGAATCGGACCGGTTTTCAGAGCAATGTTCGAGACAATCACGGGTGAGGCAACAGTCCCCCAAAAATCGTCTAGCCCCACGGTCAGAAATCTAAATCGGCAGTACAAATTTTATGCACATACAGTCTACAGTGCCTCATAATTTGATTATGCTCGTTTTCTCGCGCGTCATTTTACTTTTTAGAAAGGATGAAACTGAGATAAAAGCAGACTTTTCATGGATTTAGACCTACCCTCAAAATGCCAAGACCTTTTCACCACCCCCCCCCATCTCTCATGGAAAAGAGAGACTAAAAAAGAGTGGGCAAAAGCAAAGAGACCCTACTATTATTGATCCTTAGAGCAAGAGAAAGGGAGGATTCACATAGAACAATCGAATAAAAATGTCATGGGGAAACGACAAAAGATCGACGGAAGCTCTCTCCCCAGGTGCGCCTCCACTCGAAAGGACCAAAGTTGGGCGGTGCCCCCTGTGCTTTTACCAAGAACTAATTTTGCAGTAATTATTTTCTGACCTCCCCCCCTTTTTCTTTTATTTTTTAAATAAAAAAAAGAGAGATGAAATAAGATAAAAATCGAGGGTGTGTGTGGGGCTGTGTCCTCGAGAGAGCGCACCTTTTTGCTTGGCAGAAAGACGCAACGGACAATTAAGAAAACGCTAATTGATTTCCGTACGAAACGACCCCTCCTTCCTACTTTAATTCCCATCGACGCCACCTTTCGTGTCGCTTACATTTTCTGGCGCGATCTTTTGGGTTCATGCACCGCAATCTCTTTGTCCGCATTACAAAGGACCATGAAAACTCCTCGAAATCGGCAGATTCACCGTCCCGGCTCTGTAACGAAGGATTTAACAGAATTAACCAATCGAAGTGAACACTTTTCGCCACATGGATTGGGGGGGAGGGGGGAGGGGAGGGATGCCCTGTGCTCAGTAGCCACGTTCAGATGAATCGAGTCGCGTTGCGTGTGGACCCCGGACAGATTAGAAAATTTCGGGTAAGCTCGGGCCCTAAGGTTTGTCCCATGCTCTGTGCAATGTACGAGACTCCAGGGACACGACATTTAGCACAGCACTAGATGCCGCCGCCCCCCCCCCCCCCCCAACCATTTAGAGTCCCGATGTGTGATCCGCCAGAACGACGAATCGTATGCTTAGGAGAAAAACGCGAGCTCGCTGCGGGCTTGCGGGCATCGGTTCGTTCTTCGCATCTTGTGGAGTCTTCTTGTTCAAGGCTTCGGCCCGGAAACATTGTGTTCTTGTTCCGGTTGCCGTCCTTGTAATTTTTCAGAAATGGGATCAGAAAGCAAGGTCTGTTTAGTACAAGTTTTGGAACGAATTCTTGCAACGAAATCTGCTGACCCGGGGAAAGAGGAGAGGGTTCGTAAGAGGAAGATGCAAGGAAAGGAGGTCCCTTGGGGATCCAATTAAGATGCCTTTTTGACCCACCTAATTTTTCTCTCCCTTCCTTTCTGCTTTGGTTGCATTTCTTTCCCTCAAGTGGGACCCACGGAAAAGATAAGCCCCATCTTATCAACGAGACCTCCAGGACAAGAAAGAGTCTTCGGGACAACTCGTGACCGACAAAGACAAAAAAGACGCAAAACGCTGGACCGTCGAATTGCAGAGGAGCCGTCTTTGAACAGCTCCCCCCACCCATTGAAAGATGAAACGTGTTAGTCAGTCGGGCATCCACCAATCAGGTTTGTGGGTCATTTTGCACATGGGGGGATCACAGTGGAGCAGAAAGAGACATCAGTTCCAATTCAAACAACGACAAGCCAACGTGTCCAATTACAAGATAACACCTTCAAGATTCCAGTTCCACCATGACCATGGCCGCACAAGGATAAATTAAGAAAAAGAGAGAGGAAACAAGGAAAGGAAGAAGAAAAAAAGAAAAGCGCACCTCACTTATTTATACGACAGTCTAGCAGAATAATCACTTGTTCAGACATAATATTGATATATTCAGCAAGCAGGGCTAGCCATGGGTCCTTGCCTAATATCTTATTTCCCCCATCTAAAGCCCTGCTTAAACTTTCTCTAAATCTAAACCTAAAAAGTTCCGGAGAACACATAAGCTAGCAACGACATTGGCCAAGAAACTTAACTTTGATCTAACAAGAGACCAAGGTCAAGTATGGTTCTCTCTTCAGAGAAATATACAGCTCCCACGAACCCCCGAGACAAGCTGAGCAATCGGAACCATTAGTGGAACCATATCGTGACGTCCTGCTTCGGTAGGGCATCCATAACTCCGCCCGGTAACTCCTCCTTGAAATCAAAAGACGAAAAATCGAAGGGAGACCCGAACATGAGCTGTAGGTTGTCGTGGTTGTGGTTGGTGCCCTCGAACGAAGGATTCATGGCCTTGAACCGGTCGAACTGAACGTCCTCTCTAGAGAACATGTGATGATTGGGCACAGCACTGGGCTGCTGAAAGAATGATCCCGCGAACTCGTTTTGTTGTTGAAGCTTTGGCTGAGGACGGCTCTGGTCTTCTATGACCGCATCATTCCCGGGAGTCATGTTCTTGTTGCCTTGGATGCTGGTATCGTAGATCGACATAAGATCAGAGATCACTTTCTGCCCATCTTCAGGAACTCCAAGCCCCGATAGATCAAAGGGGGCTGATGCTGAATTGACTGTTGAAGCCATGGGCTTGGACTGGACAAAAGCTTGAGGGAAAATCACTGGCTTGACCTCATTAACATGAAAGTTTGACCCGCCAAACTCTGAAGAATTGCTCCTGTAAGGGCAACTCAGCTGGTGATTGTCCCTTGAGGTTCTGTCACGGAACCCCAGTCGCAGTTCACTGTAAGGGCACTGCAGGAACTCACAGGTGAAAATCTTGTGATCCATCACCATGTTCAAATCATTGGACGGCTTCCTCTTCCGCACCATATCTAAGTTGGTGACAACGTCACCCTTCATCGGGAAAGGCGATTGCTGGACAAACGGAATCCTCTCTCTCATTCTCTCCAGACCCAGATGGGACGGTGGGTTGAGATTCTCAGGCTTGCGCTCATGTACGTCGAAGCTGGGCTCGTCTTCCGCCCCTTCGACATCATACTCACTACAGTCATTTATGACCAAAGACCCGCTCCCTCCAGATGAGGACAGCGGGAGGCATGAATCGGGGTAAAGATCTCGCGCCAAAGACTCCTCCTGGTTTATAATAGCTAGCCAAGTAGCGCTTTCCTTGGCCGTCATCTTGTCTTGCAAGCATTTGGACTGCCTCACGAGCTTGCGGATCTTGGCAATATCAGGAGACATGTGCTTGATTACCGCCGTGAGAACACCTACCTTCCATGCCTTCTTAAGATCATGAGGCTTCTTGTAGGGCGGCGGTCCTTGATCCTTCGGCAGACCCAGCTGGGGCCACCAGTCTTCGTCTCCAGTAGGCCACCATGGCGGAGGAACGCCTTTCTCCAATGGGAACCGCCTCTGAGGGGGGTCACAGTGCTGCATGAGCGCTGACAGAAGCGAGCCAAGGGTCGTGTCCTGAAGCTCTTGCAGAGTGTGTGGGGTAGGCCCGATGGGGTTGCATCCATCGTTCTTCCCAGGAACGGAATGATCCGCTTGGTACTTGGCTATCGCGGCCGGACCGTTTCGATCAAACCTGACTTTGTCCTTCCACCATTCTCTGAGATTGTCTGACGCCCCGGTGACTGGCTTTCCCTTTTCTGGGATGATTCCATACACAAAGCCCTGAGCCTTACAGACCTCCATCATTTTCAACATGTACTTGAGAATTCCGTCCTGAGCTCTCGACATCTTCTTCCTCCTCGCCTGCTCCTGGGACTGGCGCTGTTTCGCGATATCGACTCCTTCCTTTCCCTTGTTCTGCTCCTTCAGCCGCTTGAGACGCATCTTGTCCCTCCACATCCTTCTCTCGAGTTCGTCCACGTCGATCTCTTCATCCGAGTAATCATCCTCCACGGTGGCCTCTGGCTCAGTTTGCGGAGCAACCGCGTGTCCCTCCCCAAGAGGGGCAGAGAAGAAGTCCAGATCGCCGCAAATTCCCAAATCATCAAACATCATCATTGTCTGATATAGATCTTCAACCGAAAGACCGCAAAACCCTCGAGAGCTTATAAGATCAGAATCCAAAAACAAGCCCTGAACACCGACTCCAACGCGCACAAGGTTGCTCGATTTGCTGGGTTTCCTTTACACACTGCCAGAGGAGGATGGAGATAAACCAAGTGAGACCAGATTCATCCACATCATATTCGAGTTTTCGAAATGATTCAAACAAGATATCAAAATCAAACTAGCAGCTGCCAATCAAGTTTCCAAAACCAAGATATTCAACCCCAGATTCAACACGACGCCGAAGAATTAAAAGATCTATGTCCCATGAATCACAAAGATAGAAGATGGAAAAATCAAGAGCAGAGCAAGCTGCGAAGGCGTGCTCTCTAGCTTCAGCAAGAAACCGCAAACAATTCGACCGCACAGATTCTGACAATAGTTCGACCCCATCGAACCAGCTCCCGAGCTAAAAAAATCAATCTTCCACGAGATTTGGGACAATCAGAAGAACCCAGAAAAGAAAACCGAAAGAGCGATCAATCGAACCGAAGTCACCGACTTCGGGAATCAGAAACACGCGGGAAGACGCACACGGAGCGAGAAGTCAAACTCATCGAAACTCACCCGAATCAAACCCAACCCATCTCCTATCACTCGCCGACTCCAATCAACCCACCACAAAAGAGAAAAAGGCCAAAACGCGACACCGGCGACCCAATTCAACCCAGAACACAGCAACAGCTCGAAACAGCACCGCTCATCACACCGGAAGGGAAAAAACAAAAAAGAAGAACCCAGAAAGCACAGAAAACCAGGCGAGCTGAAGGGAGACCCGGGATTGATCGCACGCACCCGGAGGGAATCAGAGCAGCATCAGATCTCGGCCGAAGCTCCCGGCGGCTCACCCCGCAAGTCAAATCCTTTCTGCTTCCCCTGCTATCTTCCACAGAGAGAGAGAGAGAGAGAGGGAGAGGGGAGAGGGAGAGAGAGAAACGTGGGAGCTTTTTTATCTTGATATTGTTGCGACGTGATCCATATTTCTTTAATTGATGACGACTTTTGATGAGTGGGTGGTGGGTGGCGGTGGCGGTGGTGGTGGTGGCGATTCGCGAAAAAACGGAAGGGAGAAGAGAGAGAGAGAGAGATGTTCGCGATGTGCTGAAGACCTTCGCGAGATGGGAATTGAAGAATGGCGGGACGAGCCTGTTCCGGTTCGGGGATATATTAAAAACCGGGTCGGGTTAGCCCAATCCTGGCCCCGGGACAGGGACAACCACGTGCCGGTTCCTCGGCGTGGGGCATTTAAGACAACAGCTTCGGTGCTGCGGGGACCGCGTCTCTTCCCCCCCGCCGTCGGGTCGGGTCGGGAACGGCAATGATTGTCGCGCTAGGGGGGGGGGGGGGGGGGTTGGGGTGGTGTGGGGGGGCAGGACGGTAAATTGAGGGGGAGAAAGGGGCGAGGGCAAAATTGGAAGCTCGCAAAATAGAAAGGTTTTCTTTTTTTTTTTTTCTTTTTTTGGGAGGGGATTAACTTGTTGTGGTGCCCTGTGGATCGCCTAGCTTAATGAAACGTTTCAGTGTTAGTCCCCCCCGGGGACACATGAGCTGGCGATTCGGATTAACGTATCGAATTAAATTCATGTCGGGTTCTACACGGCATTACGCGCTCTCAACACCCGTGTAAAAGATGTGTTCGAATGTACATAAGCACGTCCAAATATAACTAAACAAAATATCTTTAGCATATTTAGTTACGTGTATATAAATTATAAATGAGTTAAAACAGAGTCACGACGCGCGTCTTCTATGCTATTTTTGCATACGGGCATGTTTATGGTGAGAACGCGGTTAAACTTAACCCCGAACGCTCTTGATCGTGTATCGTGAGCTTACGAAGTTAGAAAGTGACCGGTCCCGATTATAATGAATAGGCACGTTCCCAAAACGAAACAAATAATATATTATTTCGATAATATTTCGGGGTATATGTCCGATTGCATGGAAATCCATGTACCATACTTTTCGTGTGAAAGTGACTGTGGGGGCTTTAGCTCAAGTGGTCAAGTGGGGTTCATTTGAGGAGGAGAGGTCGGTTTTGCGCGGCTGAAAAAAGTGATGCTTATCTGATGTAGGCGAGGAAAACAAATGAAAAAAAATGAACATGAAATCGACTGTTTTGGCATGACTTTAATCACGTGCTATTAGAACATTGTGGTTATAAAAGGGGCTAGTGAATAGTGTGAATGCGGGGGCAGCAAGAACATTCCAATTTTGAAGATCTCTTTAGCCATATATAGACATGTAGGTGACCTAGGGAGTGCCAATTGCTATGTTGCTTGGAATCATAGGGATGGAAATGCCATTGGCATTTGCTATATATGCCGAGTGTCCTTAGTTATTAGATGAACATGGGGTTTGGTTTCGACTATAAGTGATCGATGATTGAAACGATTTTGGATTGAGTTTCTCAGCGTCTGCATAGAGGAGGCAAAACATCCTTCTGCTTTGCCATTAGAGGATTTTTTAAAACCGGTCGAAAGAAGAGACCTTCGTTTTTTTTTTTTGTTCTCTTTTGGGTTTCCAAAAAATGAAGTTTCTGTTTTAACACGGGTTTTCTTGATCACGGAGATGGAGAAGTAATTTAATGAGGAGGAACGGTCGAACTTAATGCATGATTGATGGGTTCCGATTGCGTACGATTTGTAGATCCGGGGTCCGTGAAAGGAAAAGAGGAGGAACATTGGAGAATCCGAAGAAGCCCAAATGAAGAATTATTGAAAGAATATCGAGTGTTCCACAAAATAGCGTTATCAAGTCACATGATAGTAAGGCCCGGCTGCTATACTTATGGGTGGAACCTTGTTTGCATGTATCCGATGAGATTAATCTTTGTTAAGAAAAAAGTCCACGGAGTACGTGAGAATAGTCAAAATGATTTTTTGAATGAATTTCACAAAAGTTGATTGGGGAAAATACTTGTTTAGATCTAAGTCCATATAAGTTCATATGGATTGGTCGTGCTGACAATGGCACCCACATGATCGAGGGTTCCGGTTGCTCACGGTCCATAGATTAGAGACTATGGAAGGAGAAGAGGAAGGCATGGTAAGCCCAAATAAAGAACATTGCAGAACCGATATAAACCCAGATGTTTATTGAAAGAGTATCGAGTGTTCCATAAAGTAGAATATCGAATCGCATCTTTTCCTATCCAATGCAATACTAAGGCACACCCACTATATACATTACACAATTCGAGCCAGCGGGAAGATTTTTCGTGTATCTAACGAGATTAATCAAATCAAAAGTTCACAAAATCATCAGAAGAGAGGAGAGTATCTGTTTAGATCTGGGTCCATATGGATCGGGTGCGTCACTGTTGTTAATCATATGGGTACTATGCATCGACACCCGCACGATGGATGGTTTTGTTTGCTTATGGTTTGTAGACCAGAGCCTGTGGAAAGAAAAGAGGAGAGTATGGTAGGCCCAAATGAAGAATAGTAGATGTCATCTACTATCCTTACATATGGAACCTTAAACGATTTGGGCAAATGGGAAGGTTTGCGTCTACTTGACAAGATCAATCCACTTACACGTTCACGTGGCCGTTTTAAAAAGTCCAAGCGATTGTCGACACAAATTTCACGGGAGCTCGACATGAGGGGACGACACGGATCGGCACGAGTTAACACAATTATCGGGCGAACCCGAAGCCGACAACAACGAGGATTGGCTAATGTTCCTAAGTTCTAATTAGCAAAAAAAATTAGATGCTTTTCACAAGTGACCCGACGTTGAAGAAGCAACAAAAGAAGGAGTCGACATCTGGTGTGCCAATCCAATACATGGATTGGAGGTCCAGCTTTGGTTTCTGATCACTCCTGGTGGGTTGGGCCCGTTCAATGAGTTAATTTTGTTGGGTTATCGTACAATTTTGCTTCTCCATTTTCCAAGTTAGGCCCATTCAACCCAATAGATCTATTTTGAGAAAACGACACAAACGGTTCATGAATTTTGATCGAATGTGTAATGTCGACTCTGAAATTTTAATTTGTTCAATTCGGTCCCTGAACTTTAACTCAATATGCAATGTCGTCTTTGAACTTTTAATCTGTTCAATGTGGTTCCCGAACTTTGGATACGCGTTTAATTTAGTTACTAGACTGTATGAAAATGTTCAATATTGTTTCTGAACTTGAATTAATGAAAAGATAACATAAGGGTCGCATTTAAACATTTACCAAAAATTCATGGACGACATTGCATATCGGGCTAAAGTTCAGAGTTCACAATAAATAAATTAAAAATTTAGGAATGACATTGTATATCGAGCCGAAGTTTACGGACCGTTTGTGTATCTATCCCATCAATTTTCGAAGATCCAGGATTGGCAAAGTGTATGCTACTCTTGAGTTTCATTCACAGGTTCATTGCAAGGCTGAGTTATGCATTCCTCTTTCGGCATGTCCTGTACAATTGAAGAAATCATGGCTGTGAATGTTCGGACTGTAATTGGCTTCTCTCGTGCATGAACGCAGCGATGTTGCTGACGAGTTGTAAAGTGGGAAAGCTAGTGAGCAATCTCGGTTGCGCTCTGAACTCGGGGCGATTTACGGCGAAAATCTCCCCGAGGAAGCCGACACGCAGGACAAAAGACTCTTCGAGGCGGATTGGAAGATCGTCCGAGGCATCGATACCCTCCGGGACGCTGCCGATGAAAGATGTCCGGGGCGCGAAAAAAGCCAAGTCACAGTCGAAACGAATTGCATGCAAAGTTTAAGCCAGGCCTGCGACTTTGATTATACAACCGCAACGCCTCTGTTCAAAGGTCACCTTGGAGCATCTAGATCCTCATTGAAATACTCTTAAAAGTCCCTGCATATGAGATCGCTATGGCATTATTTTTACTGAATTTGATGGTGGAGCGTTGATTCCGTCGATGCCTTTTGAATGAAAGTAAAGCTTCAAATTAATATGAGAGCTGGCCACAACCGACACTTCCATGGAGAGAATCCGATGCCGATATCAACAATAAAAGAGCATGTCGATAGCTAGGATGACTAGAACTCTCTTTAGAGCTTAAAACGATGGAGACCGTTTCAAATATTCTGATGATTGAAGTTCCAAATTTATTCCATCGACGGTGGAATTCGTCGAACTCCATCCGGGCGATGGACGTTGTAATAACTCTTATTTCATTTTAGACAAGCTTTTTAAACCTATGTCGAGTCATACCCTGTCACCAGCACCAAAGCATGCGCTTTTAATTTCGCAATCAATAATTTACCTGACTCGTTTTTTTTCGAAATTGAAATGGTTGCTAAACTATGTTAAACATGGTCATGCGGCATTCATCAAGCGGCATGTTACTACGGTGGATCATGCGGGAGAATTCTGGCCGGTACATTCGCATTGCACCGTTAGAATACACGGGAACATTAAACGGTTTCATATAAGCTCAACTGATTTAACGGTTTCAAACGAGCATGACGGTTATAACGACCTTTTAGTATACCTAATATTTGATCCATTAGACGAGAAGAAAACCCGAGACACGAATCACCACCTCAATCGCTCGTCAATTCCCATCTTCCTCCTCCTTCGCGGCCGTCTTCATCTTCGCCGTCAAGCCGCATGCGATGGCCGCCCTCGGTATCCCGCGGACCCGGTCCATGCCCTCGGCGAACACCACGCCCATCCCCATGTGGAGGTGCGCCTCCACGTGGCAGTGGAACACCCACACCCCGGGGTTGTCCGCCGCGAACCTCACCGCCGTCCACCCGTACGGGTACACGACAGCCGTGTTCCTCAACGGCGGATCCTCCAGGTTGAAATGCCTCTCCGCCTCCGCTGCCGCAAACCGCCCCTTGCCGTACCCCAAAACCCAGAAGTCGTGCCCGTGCAAGTGCCACGGGTGGATCTCGCTAACGTTCTCCTGCATTGCATTCGCGTTTTGAAGCACCACGTCGACTGTGGAATTGAGCTGTAGCCGGTAGACTCGGCTGCCCACGGTGGAGTTGGGGTTCGCCGGCGGCCTCGCGAGGTTGTAGTTCTCCGGGAACGTCTCTGGCGGCGGAGCCCCATCGAAGGCGTGCTTCAGTCGGTACTTGATCGAGCCCAAGTACGGGGTTGCAGGGAGCGCCAGCGAGATGTTGTTGATCGACCACCTGAGCAGCCCGTCGACGGTGTTCTGCGTGTTGAGGAGGAGGATCTGGCGGTTGGATTTCCTCGGCGGCTTCCGGGAGCGTCCGACGAGGGCGCGGATCTTCAGGGAGAACCGCCTGCTGCGATCAAAGTCGTCCCAGCGAGGGGTGACCGGAGGCGGCAAGGTAGGAGGCTTAAAGGGCGGGTTCGGCTTGTAATTGAGGATGGTCAGGGCTTGGGTGGTGTTGGGCCGCCTTCCCCGGACGCCGGCCGAGATGAAGTAGTTGGCAGCGGGGTTTTGGTCGGTGGCGAGGAGGACGGAGTAACTCTCGCCGGAGTAGATGTCGAGGTCGTCGACAGCGAAGGGCTGGACGTAGTTGCCGTCGGCTTCCACCACCACCAGCTTGTGGCTCTGCGAAAATGGGAAGCGCACGCTCTTTTGGTTAGGCTTCATGCATGTAAATGGATGAATGTCCCGACATGGATCTAATAATTAGAATATCATTTATTATCACGAATAACTAAATTTAATTAGAATATCACAATAATTATAATTTGTATCTGGCACTAATTAGAATAGCGAAATAAATCACATATTAATTCGACACGCGTAATGTGAAATTTTACCAGTAATATCGCATAAGCATTTTATTTGTTTTGTCTCAATATTGGTGCACTTTGTAATGCGATCTTGGTGAAAAGTAATGACGATGTATACGGTGCGCCAAACGGTAATTATTAACGTTAGAAGTCACAGCCGTATGCCCCCATAACATTGCAAATAGATAGGCGTTCACGAGGACTAACCGAGACCGCAAAGTTGAGAGAGGAGAGGGAAGCCGCGCTGGCGAGCCGGAGCCGGTACGTCCGGTTCGGAAGCACGTGGAGGATCTGAGGTGCGCACTCCTCGTGCCCGAGAAACCCACACCGACCACCTCGATCCGTGGTCGCGTTGCCGTCGGCGACGGCGGAGCTCGACGCGAGCGAGCAAGTGTATTGCCCTCTTCCGTTTATCAGTAGCGACTGCACAAAAGTGCACCAAACGCAAGCATAGAGGCATGAGCAGACGCTTAAGAACATCGTGTAGATATAATTACTACAAGAAATTAAGAAGAATTTCCCTAATGGACCATCATTCTAGATAATCCCAAAATATTCTTTCTTTCTTTTTCTTTTTTTGCTCATATATATATATATATATGTATGCTAAGAATAGCTTGCGTCAATTCCTTGCAGGGATAGCTATACCACCTCTTCTCTTGACTTTTCCTTCGCCTTGGGTGGAATAAAGAGCGCTCTTTCTAATCTCTATCCTATCGACTCCCTCCTAGTAGCCGACCCCGGAGTTAGAAAGCCTAACTTCAACTACCGCTTACAAGTCACTAAGATTTGTCCGCTTTTCTCCTCTAGCCACAAACAATAGACCGTCGGAAAAATTACCAAAAAAGTCCTAAGCCTATTATAATTGGCATGGTTATAAAAGACTTATGACTAAATTGGAAACAAAGAGAGCGCATGACTGAATTGACACGATCGCAATAGGTTTAGAATTTTTTTTGGTAATTTTCCCGGAGACCGTTAATACTACTTGAACTATCGAGCTAATCAGTAATACAGGCCCGATGGATCTGGCTCCTTGTAATTTTTGTGTTAATCAACTAGCACTGATTTGTCAAATATAGACTCTTGTGCTAGGATAGATTTTTTTTTTTTCTATCGTTCTTAATGAGCATCTTATTTAGCACGAATTATGGTATATTTTAGTATTATTATTTGTTAAATATGGGCTAGCATGCTATATAATTATATATGTAGGCTCTTTATTTGTAAAATATAGACTAACATTTTATAGTAGATATTTCTACTTTGTTCAACTCTTAGTAAATATCTCATTTAACACTAATTTAATACAAATTTATATAATTTATTTGTTTATTTTGTTGGTTTGTGAATCACTTACTTATGGAATATGATAAAATATTTTGTCAAAATGGGTATTCACACTACTTATCAGTCATAGCAGGCTAGCAGCAACCGTTGGTTATACTTATTATTAAAATCTACACAATCATATAATGGGACCATCTAGACATATACTATTTTTCTCTTCTATGGTAGGTAATTATATTATGTTAAGTAATTTGTGAAGCATGTTCCAATTTTTTCTTTTTTGTGATGATGGATATTTTTTTAATTATCTTTCAATATCATGTATCTGTCAAAAATGAGTCCAATATAAGATTGATCTTTTTGTATTATCAAGGAATGTCCTAGTATTGATATTTAAAACCATTGAAAATAGAATCAGCGCAAATCGACACATTTTGAAAATTGAGTGATAACATTTCCGAAAAGTCGCCTCATAGGAAGATTTATATTTCCAAAGCACCATTAATGAAGGCTTGACAAGTACCGTATGGATACTGTTTAACATTTTTCAATTATCATTTCTCAGATATGACTCAAATATAAGATAAGTATCTCTACTTTATTAAACTCTTTCAAAATCTCGTCATAAATAATCGTTTTTCAACATATAATACATATGTATTTCGAAATAGAATCTACATATACATAACTACATTTATTACCAAAATATAATTCTATTATTTCTTGTACATCTATTTTTTAACCAAAAAAATATATAATTCTATTATTAATTATTGGAGATTTACTACCAAACTATGCATAAGAATCGAGTAAAGCTCTAGCGTTAAAATTTGTATAAGAAAAAGAGAAGAAATATCAGAACTTGCGGTATAAACCTCGCAGGTGAGCTTATGAGCTGTAGTCAACTATACATGTCCAAGTTAGTGTCTGCAACATACAACAGAATTTTCGTTTGACCAGCGTCAAAGAGGAAACTCAAAACCGCTTCAGTTTCTTTCTCGGTCCAGAGAGTTCCAGACCCCATAAGAAGAAAATCTTATGCATAAGAAACCCAAAGTGGAAATTTACATGAGTTCTTGTTCCTATAACAGAGAAAACAATGTCCACAGGTATAGAAAATCGACAGTATCATGATTAAAGGCAAGATTGATATTTGGAAATCGGCGGTATAACGCCGTAAATCGCGACTATTCACGTGCCATTTCTCTAACGCTTCCCGTGCGAATTGCTTTTAAGTTGAGATCGGTCTCCGGCAATTCATTAACGAAACGATGATTTTGAAAGATTATATATTATACGGACTCAGACTTTGGCGATGACGATGAAGTATATATGTATGTATATACCTGAGGTTCGCCGATCCAACGGAACGGCACGGAAGAGAGGCCGACCTCCTGCTCATGCACACTCCGGTGCCACCAGTCGCTCAGCAAGAGGCTGAACTCGCCGTCGTAATCGAATGGCTCCTTCTCTCCTTCCGCGACGTCCACTATGAGAGACCCGTATAACCCCGCTGTCCTCTGCATTCCATAGTGTCCATGGTAGAAGTACGTTCCCGCCTGCGTCCAACATGCACGTAACATATCGTATCGTTACGATAATCTTCTGTATAAATTCGACATTACACATCAGATAGTTCGTCCGTGGAAGTAGTCTGTTTTTGCATGCAGCATACAAGTTTGCCCATTTCGGAGAAATGTTTAATTCTCTCTTGATCAACTACAATACACGGTCTTTATCAACTACTTACAGAGAGATGAGCAAAGAAACTCGATGAGGAAAGCTGTCGTTAATTCGGTCAGTGATGCGAAAGGTGCTTGCTCTTCGATATTTTAATGGATTTCAACCACACGGAGCCATGTTATTCATATATATAACTCGGTTTAGTAATACCAAACAAGTCGTGCAATCGAAGATGACGTGGGTGTAGTGTCATGTCATTGGTGTTTATAAATGTGGCTCGTGAATTGCACGACAATGCCCGACCCAAAAAAATAAAATTGCACGACAATGAGCGCGCGAGAGAGAGAGAGAGGTAGTGAGACCTTGTCAACTTTGAATCTGTAAACGAAGGTATCTCCAGGATTGATGACGCACTGAGAGACTGAAGCAGTTCCATCCGCCCATGGAGTTCCAAGCTGATAACAATGTGTAAGAAATTAATCCGAAATTAGAGTAAAAAAGAAGAAGGAGAATCGTTCATTCAATAGTATTCACAAAACCATATAAGCATACACACGCTCGTTATGGCGAAGAGCATATGCAGTTAACCTGTCTAATTCCATGCCAGTGAATGACAACACCCTCAGTGTGGAGCTTGTTGGTGAGCTTCACATGAAGGGTGTCCCCGGCCTCGGCACGGATCGTAGGGCCCGGGAACTGGCCGTTGATCCCCATCACGAGGTTCTCGACGCAGTCCGGCGACCGGAACATGTAACCGACCTCCCATTCAAAGTGCCTGGTCTTGGATCCCAAAGGCAAAGACGGTCGGATCAGAAGTAGGATGGTGATGAAGTTGATGATCATCACTAGGGTCTCGATACCCCTGCAAGTTGACCAAGCAACGTGGGTCTATGGAGTCTTCTCGTTTTACTTCTGTTTTAGTGCTGTGGAGTAGTTTTTTTCAAAGATCAGAGAGAGCGAGAGGAAGAAGAAGAAGGGAGAAGAAATGTGGGTGTAGTTGGTGAACCACTCCCCAGTAGACATGGAAGGTGATGATTAGTCATTCGTACACAAGTCCAAGAAAAAGAAAGCAGGTGTTCTTCATAGTGGGATCTTCAGTAAATGGTAAAAATTTCAGTTTTGGGTGGGTCATTCTAATGATTATCTGTGGTATAGTCGTTCTTCTTTTGCTGTACAACTATAGCTTTTGTGTGCATCTGTGTATATATGACATGATATGCTGCCTAATATATGATTTGAGTTTCCCTGACCATACTCTATTTGATCGTTATGTGCTATTTGTATGATGGGCAATGGGCCTGGTCTTGGGCAATTGGGCCTGCCTAGGCCCGCCCAAAAGCAAAAGAAAACTTCCTAAAGGAAGGGTTCTTGGAGGATCAAGGAAATATTACAATCTGCAGTTTCTTGTTGTCTAGGACTCTAGGAGGGAAATTCTTTCCAAACACACGAGCTACTCTTCCTTTTCCTCGAGCTCTAGGGTTCCTGGTTTTCTTCCGTCACTTCCTTCACCTCTCGAATCGACAACAGATTGCTTCCTTCACCTCTCGAATCGACAACAGATTGCCGGCGATCCTCAATGTGTGGCATTACGATCGGGGTGGCAAAAACTATGGGTATGAGAGAGAACATATTGGAACCTAACTCTCAGTTTCACGCGTTTAAGAAGATGTAAATGTAAAACTTATGCCAATACTATCAATGAGGAACTCGTACAAATGGAGAAACCCTGGAGAAAGGGTGATTTTAACAGAGCACTTATCTTAATCCCGATAGTGAGATTACATACGAATAAATTGGATTAGTTAATCTAGATAGTTAGGCATGTCGAAACATGCCTTTCTTATATGTTAAGACTGCCTACTAAATTTGGAATTAAGTTGGTCCAGTTGTTAGACGACTTTCATCATACTTCACATCAAATTGAATGCGGTCGGTTTTCGACCATGAATATTGTCAGAAGTTCGCTCACCTCAACATATTTAAGAAACAGAGAAAACAGTATGACGTTAAAATGGAAGATAAGATTGTCCACCACACTGCTTTTGCCATCTGATACGAGAACTCGAAAAACTTCTGCAACAAAATAGACCCATTTCGACTATCAATATTGGCGGTGACGCCGACTGTCAATCTATCGATATTGTCAAAGCATCAGTTCTGACCATCACGTCACCGAAAACCGCTTCGATTTTTTGCTATCAAGCTTCCACTAGTACTATGACAATACAGATTCATAACTTAGAATGTCTCCCAAACAACATAACAACCCAGAGTTCCAAATGCTAAAGCATTCAAGTATAATACAATATACAAATTACTCATATGAGGATCGCATTGACAGATCCACTTTTACACTGTAAGATGATAGATTTCTGACTCTTGAGACTGCATGACCATACCAACTATGAGATTTCGCATTATGCAACCCATTAATAACAGTTGGTGTCGTAACTTGCAAGCCCGAGCAACTCGGGTCCTTCTAGTCGTGGGTTGTTCTCAAAGCTACAGCAAAAGAGAAGAAAGACTGTCAGACTCCACTGAAGATATAAATGAGAGCAGAAACCTAATGACGAGTAACTTCGCCCACATGTCAGAAAATGCAAAATGGCCAAATCTAGAAAAGAGCGATCAGCAAAAACAAGGCCAACCACTCTGCAGTTTCACTGCAAGGACGCTGCCAAAATAAATTTTGACTCTATCTTCGTACTGCATAATGTGGATGCTTAAAAGACTCCAGTAATTCCCAACCAAAAGATCTCACTTTCGAATATTAGATCGTGAATAGACCTCTCTACCATCTTAATCAACAACGGAATCCCAATACAGATTTTGGACGGGGAAACTAGCCTACCAAAGCTCTTTGTTCACATACAAAGGAGTCCATTGATATGTTATAAGTGTCAAGTTCTCTGATTCCCCTGAAACCCTTTGACAACTTCCCAAACATTCAGCACCATTACCTCAGACATCTCAATCGACTATGTAAGAAACATAGAAACAAGCATGCTGACTAGAGAACAAAAAGGACATCCAAAGGCAAATAAAAGATGAAATCAAAGATCTTTAATGTTCTCCGGACATACTACAAATCACCCTCTGCTTCATATATTTACTATCACCTAATACACTATTCCTGTGGCCACGGTAATTTGGTAAAGGCACATACTTCCCCACAACTTACTTGGTAAGCACATTCCTTCTATTTCAAAGATTCAGCAAATCAAAGATGCAGCAAATACACATGAATTTCTACTAATGAAGAAAAGGAGCCCAATGAACCAATTGAAGGCACCGACCAATGGAGACTACCTGCCGTGGTTCTTAATGTCTGGTTTTAGTGAAATATCAAGTCAATAGTGCATTCGATTCCTCATAGAGGGAGGAAAGGTTAATTTTTATCGTCATTAGCCGCCTACCTTCTACCTAAAATGATCAAGCCTTAATGATGCCACCATTTTTCATATTGTAGTCCTTGGTAATGTAAGCACCAAAAGAGAATAGACAGAGTGCCAGAAGAAAGTGAGAAACAGGGAGATAAAAGATGAGAGTTATTGCACAACAGATGCATTTAATGTTATATGGAAAATGAATCAGAAGAAAGTGTGGTACACATTCAGAATAACAGAGAAAGGATTGAGGCCCGTGGGTCAAGCTCATAGCAAATTGCTTAAAACTAAAAGAACTGAGAAATAATAAAGAGGAGAAGAGCATGGGATGATTACTTGTTCAGCGGAATGTGTTCAAATGGTCCCGTAGTAGGAATAGTTCCGCAAAGGTTGTTGTTTGATACATCCCTGAAATATTATTAGAAACTCTTGCAATTAGTCAATGATTTTGCAGGATTAATAAAATTACTGTAACAACAGTGCCAAAACCATGAGAACATACACGACTTTTAGACTTGAAATGCCAACAAGTTCCCTTGGGATTGGCCCAGTCAACTTATTATCATTTAGCCTCCTGGGAAATAAACAAATAAACAAACAGTGAGAAAGGTGAGCAGCAAGGCTCTTAACATCTAAAGGGATGTGTGTGTGCTAAAGACTTACAAGACATGACACATGCCCGCATATGGCTCAACATATTATGCACCCTCAATTTATATCAAATTGATCTGTGCAATTATGCCGAAAATATAAATTAACTTACAGGAAAACAAGAGATTTCAACTTCCCCAGTGAGGGAGGGATGTTCCCAGTGATATTGTTGTTATACAAGTCCAAGCTAACGAGACTCTTCAAGTTACCAAGCTCGGTTGGAATAGTTCCTTGAATGTTGTTCTTGTAAAGCTCACTGCAAACAAAAGAAAGAATGCTCAATAAATTAATTGAATCAAGAATATGCTGTGACGTTAAGCTGTACCAAGAAAAGTATGGATATGAATTAGGATTAACTGAGCAAATCCCCAAATCAATTAGGATTAATTGAATTAGGATATTAAACAAACGGATTTCTATTCCCAAACTGATTCTGGGAACAAAAGATCAGAATCAAACATTATTTGGCAAGTTGCCATGCGCAGCCTAAGTAATATACGATAATTAGAAATTCCAAGATAACATACAGATACTGAAGATGCTCGAGCTTCCCGAGTTCAGGTACCAGATGTCCAGATAGATTAGAGTTTCCTAAATCCCTGCAGAAATATCATTAAATATCATCAGAAGTAATCATAGAAAAGTGGAAGCACAGTACACAAAGTCATCATGAAGCAACTGTTTCAAAATAAGAATTAAATAGAGAGAACTATCACCCAACTTAGAAACAAATCAATTTATCCGAGGACGCTTAAGCAAGTGCACAGTATAAGAGCCACCATCAACCCTCAATCCGAGCATTACATAAACCAATCCGCAATACCTTTACTGAGTCGATTTTATTTAGTTTTCATCTTGAGTAGATACATCATAAAAGGGCAACGGGAGTAGACCTCACAAATAGAGAGTCCAGCAAAATCTTCTTTGGGAATGGATGAAAATCTAGAGTCAAATCTTTAACTGGTTTGTGCTCAACAAGAACGCGCCACGAAAAGAATCCTTCTCATGAGGCTGATAAATAGCAAGAAATCCAACAGGATCATGCAAACTTGCCTCTCCAAAAAGGAAGCTGAAGCTTTCCAAAGTGATGTAATTTATCTCCCAATTTACATCAAGGCTTCAAAGACTCGGTTCCTCTCTACTAAGTACTAAGAACGAAAAAACAAAAAACCAACTTACCCACTTCATCTAATGCTGGAGCAACATGATTTTTTACCCACCAAAAAAACAAACAACATGATCCAGAAATCGAAACCACAGACTTCAATCAAGAGTCAACCGAAGGTCAACCCCGATTGATCAGAAAGAAACACGGAGACCATTCATCACGCGGCGGCACGGCCAATCGAGCTCGACCCAAGACAGGGCTAGTCTTACAGAGCTAGTAATCCCCACGCGAGCCATTCGGGCAGACAGACGAGACAGTTCAGACAGCGAGAGAGAGAGAGAGAGAGAGAGGGAGAGGGAAGGGAGCGTACACTCGAGTGACGCGGTTGTCCTGATTGCAGGTGATGTGGAACCAGGTGCAGGGGTTGACCAGGGTCGGATCCCAGCTCTGGAGCACGTTGTCCGGATCCGACAGGCTCCGCCGGAAGGTGTACAGCGCGTCCCCCTCGGAGTTGGCGCCCGCCAGCCGGAGCGTCGCTAGGGTTAGCCACGACGCGCAGACGACGACGAAGCTCCAGCTCCAGCTCCAGCTCCGCAGCCCGGCCCGCATCTCCATGCCGCTCCCGCCCTCGCGCCCAAATCAAAGCGCTCCCAAACCTCGAGCTCGGCTCGGCTCGGCTCGGCTCCGAATACGGGGAGGCGCGCGCCGGTTCGGGGATTCGAATTAGGGTTTCGCTCCGCGGTGGGTTCGCCGGTGTTGGGGGAAGACGAAGGGGAAGAAGAAGAAGACTGCAGAGTTTCTCTTCTTGCGTGCAGAAGAGGGAGAGGGAGAGAAAGAGAGAGAGAGAGAGGAAAGTGGGGAGGAAGATCGGCTTTGGGAATTACAGAGGGAATCATGGCGCTTTTTTTTTCTCCTTTTTTTTATTTATTTTTCGTGAAAAAAAATTCGCAGGTTTTTGTTTTTTTTTTCTGGTTTTTTTTTTCTTTTCGCCTTTTGTTTATTATTGTGAGGAGTAGTTTTTGTGTAGTTGTTGGCCGGTTCCAACAAAAAGGACGGACATAGATTCCTTGGGGAGTGTAAATTTTTGTTTTTTTTTTTTTATCTCTTTTGTTCATTTCATTTCCGAAATTCTCTTGGGGAAAATCATTATCTTATTTTTGGGACCAAGGGGGGTGTAATTTTTGTGTTTACTGCTTTTGTTCGTTTCGTTTCCGGCTTAGAAATGAATGTGGGGATCGGATCTATCTATCTCGTGCCACTCATTAAGCATGCTCGGTAAAAGAGAAGCTCGATTTTCAGCGATGCTCGAGACGCGGTTCATTTACATCGCGCAACTCCGTGCTTTTGTGTATGAGCAAGCGTTTCTCCATAAGATGGACACGTCCTTTGTTGGGTTCTCATGTGAATAAGTTGACGATGGAGTTCCGATAATAAACTAGGCGCCCCCCGTTCCCACGATTTGCCCGTGTATTTCCAATGACACCCTCGTTCTATTCCCGATGTGCAACTCGCCTGGTCGAATTTTATTCGAGCGCTCTGACATCGATGATCATTCACCGACCTCGTCGAACCGGCTCATTGCACAGGGCAGTAATTACGCATTTTCGCGGAAAAAGAAAAAAGTCGCCCCCACCTTGGAAGTTGCAGAAGGCGTCTATTTAATCCCACTCGATAACCACTACTTTCAATCGTAACCAGCTTCGTAGGAGCGGAAGGGAATTTTTGCACGAGCATACTTATAAATCACGTGACATGCGAAGCGTATTTTAAGCCGATAAGAATTGCAATTTCATTCGTGTGCTAACGTAAAAGCTTTTCTATTTTTTTTTTTTCATTCATGCCTGTATAAAATAAAATAAGAATTTCCAATGGGATCTTTTCAATCACGAAATAATTCCATTTTAAAATTTTCCAATCAAGAGATATATGCCCTTTTTTTGGGTCCCGAGTCTCGAATGAATTATTACCCCCCCTTTCAAAGTCATCGCACCCCCCCCTTCGAGTCGTGGCACGCGCATTGTTGACCGAGGAGCCCCCTTCCTTTGACACTGACCTCTCATTGGCCGATCGATCGATCCAACCTTTCTTCCTTCTACTCCTACTGTTCCTAGTCCATGCCGTGTCAAATGCTCCTGCTTAGTTGCTTGGCCAATCCCTCTCTCTCTCTCTCTCTCTCTCTCTACAACAAAGACCGAACCTAGCCCGAAATTGAAGGCATTTTCGCCCCTCGACCTCGTCCCTCGCGATCTCGCCGGCGTTCGAAGATCCCGCTCCATCGGTCCGGCCATCTTAAGCCAGCCGAGAAATCAAGCTCCCCCGGTATTTAGGGCCAAGTATGGTTCCGGGGTAAAACCGGGAACTGAAGAACCGAATTGGTTTCAGGTTCCGGGTTACGCACGGTAGGTTTCAGGTTCAAAAAATTGGGGAATCGGTTTTGTTTGGAACGAGTCTTTGTGTGTTTTCTTGTTATTTATATTTGCACAGTCGTGCGATATTCCATGGCATCCGATGATGAGTATGTGATATAGAACCATTAATCTGAGCTTCTATTTCCGGCGATATCCATGACTATGACTTTTACTTTGTTAATGTTTCGTATTCTTCATGCGTCTAGATATATGAGTTATGGTCAGTTGATTTTAACAACAAGTAGTGGTCATTGGAGATGATGATTCCCTTAATTTGTTCAATTAAGAATACAATTGAACCTGGATAGACCTTTGAACCATTCCAATATATATATAGGGTAATTTCCAGGTTCAAAAATTTTGGGAACCAGTTCTGAGTTTCATGTGGAACTTGGACCGACCGTAAAACTACTCACCCCTATTGATACCTTAACAAATCATCGCCGATCGATATATTCAACGGTGTGCGCTTAGTATGCTTTTTACATCTTCAAAAGATAGGTGCGAGAATGAACGAGTGACGGGCGTGGGTTAGAGGAATCAAACCAGCTCCACTACCTACTAACCTTTTTTGGGTGGGCTTTTATCCTTTTGGAAATTCCACTACCTACTAATTAAAAAACTCCATTTAATTCGAAGTTTGGAGTCGAGCATAATCCACTAAACGTTGTCCACCATGGTGGGATCACATTTTTTTTATTTTATTAAATCGGAGAATATAAGTTGGTTTAGACTTCGATACGAAAAGTCAGGAATGAGTATATATATTTTGTTAACGGGTGAACTCGTGCTATGAAATAATAGGTGAAAAACACGTCACGCACGGTTCTCGTTGCTCCTAAAGTATAATTGTTGACAATCCGTGATCACGACTTAGATGATGTAAATGTATGGTTACGTTCTTGGACTTTTTATTAGTAAATATAATTCTCCAATGACGTGTAAATGACAAAAAAAAGAGAAATCGATTTTCAAGTTTTAGAAAAATAACGAAAAAAGTACACGTACTTCTTGCATGTCATTGGCCGGATATTTTGCATGGGCTGGTTGGTAACGAGCCTTGGGCTTTATTCCTCTCAAAGCAACCGGAAGGGTTCGTGGCGCATTATGTCGAGGCCTATTTATTCTATGGGTATGGGGCTTGCTAGTTGAGGCTGCGATCTTGCTTGCATGATCTTGTGTTTTATTTATGAAAAGAAGATCATTTTGGCCCGGTCAATACATAAACCAAATCAATCTCTGTTACATTTTTACATGATAAGATGGGATAAGAGAATGAACTTAGAAGTAGCGCTAAGGCACTATAGAGTTGAGGATTCTGAACCGTCCGTTTGTTTCGCAGAAGATGTGACATTTTTTGGAAAATATTTTCCGGGGAGTCATTTTCTGGATAAATGATGATATTTTCCGATGTTTGGCTGAGACCTGAAAATGAATTGAAAAATATTTTCTATCGTTTGGTATAAAACTGGGTATGCGCACTAATAATTTGGGCATAGGCAGCTGGGAAACTGGGTACGGGCACCGGAGTCCCCGATCCGGCCTTGATGGACCTTGACCCGAGCACCTGGGTCCTAAGCCCGGCCTTGATGGACTGAGGCGTGAGCTTCAGGGTACCGGGCCCAGCTTCTATGGATTCAAGCACGGGCACTAAAGTCCTAGGCCCCCGCTCGGTGGAACCGGGCACGAGCACTAGGTTCTTGAGCCTTGACCTTGAAGGACCTTAGCTCGAACACCAAATACTCGAGCCCAAGTGTCAAGGACTCAGACATGGCCTTTGTGGACTCCAGGTAGAGTGACAAGGACCAGAGTGGGCGTTAGGGATTCGGACACGACCTTTCTAGACCTGGGCCTAGGTGTTGGGATTCGAGCTTGGGTATCGGGATCTCGCGCTCGGCCTTTGTGGACTCGAGCCCAATTGCCAAGGCATCGGGTTGTCAGGCAGTAGTGCTAAGGCACTATAGAGTTGAGGATTCTTAGCCGTGCGTTTGTTTCGCGAAAGATGTGGCATTTTTTGGAAAATATTTCTGGGGAGTCATTTTTCTGGATAAATGATGATATTTTCCGATATTTGGCTGAGCCTGAAAATGAATTGAAAAATAGTTTTCGTTGCTTGGTATGGAACCAGGTATGCACATTAATAATTTGGGCATAGGCAGTTGGGGAATCGGGTACAGCTACAAAAGTCCTCGATCTGACCTTGATGGACTCGACTCGACTCGAGCACCTGGTTCCTAAGCCCAGCCTTGATGGACTGAGGCGTGAGCCCCAAGGTACCGGGCCCAGCTTCTATGGATTCAAGCATGGGCACTGAAGTCCTAGGTCCAGGCTTAGTGGAACCGGGCATGGGCACCAAGTTCCCGATCCTTGACCTTGAAGGACCTTAGCTCGAACACTAAATACTCGATCCCAAGCGCAGAGCCTTTGTGAACTCTAGGTAGAGTGACAAGGACTAGAGCGGGAGTCAGGGATGTGGGCACGACCTTTCTGGACCTGGGCCTAGGTGTTGGGATTTGAGCTTGGGTATTGGGATCTCGCGCTCGGCCTTTGTGGACTCGGGCCCAATTGCCAAGGCATCGGGTTGTCAGGCACAACCTTGACTCCAAGGATCCGGGAACCAGGATTGGCCTTTCCATGCTCAAGCGTAGAGTTTCTGGTTTAAGCATCATAGTTATTTTGGAAATAATTTTTGATTTTTTAAGGTGTGTTTGTTTGAGTGAAGGTGTTTTCGGAAATTAGTTTTTCAAACTTTTACCGGTTTGGTTCACTGAAAATGACTAGTCAACCGAAAATAGTTTATAGAAGCGAGCGACTTGCTTTTTTTTTTTGCCTTCCAAAAACAGATATGAAAAATGTTAGTTTAAAGAAATTGAAATTTACAACCGCAATCCCAGCCAACCCATGACCTAGCCTCTTCCTCCTCATTCGCCGCCGTAACCACCCGTGAGATAACCATCGCCTCGTCGCCACCGGAACAATCCGTCTCTCCTCTATCTAAAATCCCAATCCGCTTGTAGAAAATCCTAGAGCTCTTGCTCAAATCATCCACACTTTGACCCGAAGCCATCCACGTTTGTGCCTGCTCCTCATCCTCCTCTTCCTCAAAGCCCTCCGAAAGCTGAATCGTCACTTCACACGAGCTCTCGCACTCCCCCGGATAGTCGCTCGCTCCCTCTTGTGCGACGGTGAGGTCAAGGTCACCATCCGCCACCTCCGCGATGTGGCTCGCGGCACTCGTCGACCTTCGTCCTTTGCCTACATTCGATGGAAAAGAATTTTCGGTAAAATAAAATATATGCACACTTAAAGTCAGAAACGATGAATTCCAATGAGAAAACAAGTTTTCCCCTGAAACAAATAACACTATAATAAAACGGTCATAAAAACAAGGGAAAAGATCACAAAAAACCCCAAATTACGCCACCTGTGATATACTTACCCTGAACTTTTTTTTGTGACACAAAAAACCCCAAATTATGCTATTTGTGACACATTTACCCCGATGTACTTTAGTCCATGGGCATTTTCGTCTTTTTTGCTTTTTCTTTTTTATTTCCTTTCCGGCGAGGGCCACTCTCGCCGGTGTCGGGCGAGGGCCGCCCTCGCTCGCCCAGGCGAGGCGACTCTCGCCCGACTCAGGCGAGGGTGGCCCTTGCCAGATCCGGCGAGGGCTGCCCTCGCCTGGGTGAGCGAGGGCGGCCCTCGCTCGACTCAGGCGAGGGCGACCCTCGCCCGACGCCGGCGAGGGCCACCCTTGCCGGAAAGGAAAAAAAAAGGAAAAACAAAAAAGAGGAAAATGCCTATGGACTAAAGTACATTGGGGTAAATGTGTCACAAATAACATAGTTTGGGGTTTTTGGTGTCACAAAAAAAAAGTTCAGGATAAATGTGTCACAGATGGCAAAATTTGGAGTTTTTTGTGGTCTTTTTCCTAAAAACAATCAATTCACGCTCGTTTCAACCAATGAAAATTCCGAGAATTAGATGTAGGTAGAGAGCGATTTTTATAAGTGGAGCGCGATTCCTTAAGGGTTTATGCGACGCAAGCTAATAATATCTTTGGAGGGAAATGAAAAATAATCCGATATAATAATACGATGTATCATAATTGAAGTACTTACGTAATTATATCGCACATAACATTATTATTTCGTAGCCGAATAATTTATTAAACACCTCGTCCCATTCATTATGCCGATATTTTTTTTATAAAAAAATCGATTGTAAGGCATATTAATTCAAACGTAGCGCTCTCGCCCCCCACGCCCGGGGGACATCGCCTGACCCATCGAGCTTATTATAGCTTAGCTCACTTTGGGTACTGTGTAGTACCCCCTCTCGTCTGTCTACCTCTGCTGGCTCTATCCACTGTGGAAAAAATCCAGCACCGGGAGGTGCAGGGCCACCCCCGTGGGCAGCATCCTCCCACGCGTCCACGGCCTCGACCGCACGATCCGCACCAAACTCCCAAGGGGGGCCTCATCCTGGTGCGGAGCGGCCGCAGAGGATCGGGGCTCCGGGGGGACCGGGTCCCCCGTGGCCAAGTCGCCCCAATACCGTAAGCCCGTCCGTCGTCAAGCTCGAACGAGGTAAAAAAAGGGGCGAGAGGGGAGAGAGAGAAAGAGACCGGGGGGGTGGGGGGAGGGGAGAGAAACGAGGCAAGTGAGCGACAGCTTCTTACTTCTCCTACTCCTCCTTTCTTTCTTCCTTCTTTCTTTTTCTTCACTGTTTGTTTCCGGTGTCCGAGGGTTTTCTTTTGGCTTTCTCCTTCGGCTCTGCCGAGGTAATGCCGCGAGGCACCGACCCGTCGGTCGTCGCCTCGTGTCTTTGGCTCCTGCGCAATGCTGTCTTGCTGGTGGTCGTGGAAGGGAGGGGGGGGGTTGTTTTTGTTTTTTTGTCGCGCTGCGCTCGATTTTTTCCCTGTCTGCTTTCTTCTGGGCCATTTTGACTTTCTGGGTTTTTCGAAATGCTGCTCTAGTTTCGCTCTGGGTCGGAGCTCTCTTGTGCTCCTCTGGTTGGCTCTTTCGATCGGTTTTCTTTGCCCCCCCCTTTTTGGCCGTTCCTTTGGGTTCCTTTCGAGCTCATTTTGGTCTTTGTCAGTTCGCTGATGGTCTGTGGTTTCGCTCTCTGCTGACATGCGAAGACGGGAGAGCTGTATCGTTTCTGTTGTTCAAGATTGTTCTTTTTTTTTCGCGTTCGTTCTCTTCGTGTGGCTTTCTTTCGTCTTTTAGCGTTTTAAAGCGCGATTTCGTGGAATGTTGTTCGCTGCATGTGTACCTGAACTGGGCTTAAGTACCGGGGATGCCGAGTTTCTAAGGTAGGGTTGCTTATTTTCTCTGTTCTGTCTTTCGTTGTTGTAGGATTCTGCCAAGATTCGACTTTCGGCTGCAGCTTCTCGTTTGGTGAGGTAATAGTTTCTATAATGTGGTTTATCTCTTACTTGCGTGTGGCTTCAATGGACCGATGCAGCGTTTGACTCTGTCCCATGTATATTTTGTCGGAGTAGATCGTTGGTAAGTGGGTTTTGTCATTTTTCTTACTTCGTGGTCGAAGTTCCTGCTAAGTTATGTAACTTGCCAGATGCTAATTTGGTACATGTTGATGGGCTTACAGTGGTAAGCTTTTGTATGACTATGATTCGCATTACGCCGTAGCTGCCTTTGAGTTTGGTTTCAGTTGAACCGCTGATGCGACTCTTCTTTAAGTTTGTAAACCTTGGACATCCATGTGGCTGTGCTTGAGAACGTTGAGCAACGTGATTGAGGCAGTTGAATACAATTAGACATGCTGTTGAGGAAGTTACTTCAACTATATGTAATTGAGGAAGTTGGTTTTTTATACATGCCTATTCTGGTAAATTATGAAATATTGAATGTGGGGTACTAATGGAAAAGGGCGGGAAGTAACTCTTCATTAACTTCAATTAGGCTTTGCACATTAATCATGTCCAGCTTGTTTTGGTAAGGCATCTCTTATCCTAGAATCTCCAATCTGCAGAGTTAATATCACTGTGCCTTTTCTTTCCACATAGGATCTAGCATGGAACCCTCTGGTCCCGAGGGAAATGGGGCGCACAACGGTGTGCAACCTCCCTCATCTGATGTCCCGTCGAATGACGTTCCCGGTCAAGTGGAGGAAGTAAATGCTCCTGCACCACTGAAGAAAAAGGCTGCACGGGTTCCAATAGCCAGGCGAGGGCTTGGTTCCAAAGGCCAAAAGATAGCCCTTCTGACAAATCACTTCAAAGTCAATGTTACAAATGTTGATGGCCAGTTCTTCCATTATTCTGTACGTACAATGTTTTACTTTTGTACTCTTAATTTAATACCTTGTTTGTGACTAACTGATGGCAATGTCGATATTGGTTTTGACGTTGCATTAATCTTTTGAATCTGTAACTCAGGTAGCCGTGTCTTATGAAGATGGTCGCCCTGTGGATGCAAAGGGCGTTGGACGACGAGTGATGGACAGAGTGCAGGAGACTTATAGCAGTGAATTATCTGGAAAGGACTTTGCATATGATGGAGAGAAGAGTTTGTTTACCATTGGGCCTCTTCCATGCAACAAACTTGAATTCACAGTCGTTCTTGAGGATGTATCATCAAGCAGGTAAACATTCTTGCATTCTAATGATGCTCCCCCACCCGTGGATTGAATTATTTTGATCCTCATTAGGCGTGATTTGTGTAGGAATAATGGAAATGCTAGTCCCGATGCTCATGGAAGTCCAAATCACAGCGATCGGAAGAGAATGCGGCGACCTTATCAGTCAAAAACTTTTAAAGTAGAAATTAGCTTTGCTGCGAAGATACCCATGCAGGCGATTGCTAATGCTCTGCGGGGTCAAGAATCAGAGAATTTCCAGGAAGCCGTTAGGGTGCTGGATATAATACTGAGGCAGCATGCAGCTAAGCAGTAAGCCAGTCATGTTTCTTCCCTTTCCTTCTCTTTTATCCTGTTTGTTTTTCGGATATTCTATAGTCAATGCTATCATGTTGACTGCTGCAGGGGATGCCTTCTTGTTCGCCAGTCATTCTTTCATGGTGATCCAAGAAACTTTGCCGATGTGGGGGGTGGTGTTCTTGGATGTAGAGGATTTCATTCGAGCTTCAGAACTACCCAGGGAGGCTTGTCCCTTAATATAGGTTGATACTTGCAACAATGATTCGATAATTCATTGACTTTTGCCGACTAACCAGTAACCGATATATTTATTCTAGATGTATCGACTACCATGATCATACAACCTGGGCCAGTGGTCGATTTTCTAATTGCGAACCAGAACGTGAAGGATCCTTACTCACTTGACTGGGCGAAGGTGATTTATAGTCTTCCTATGAGGTTATGTCTGCTGCATTCATTCTCCTATGATCGTTAAAATTGCTTCTGCTGACTTTAACACAACAGGCCAAGCGGACGCTCAAGAATCTTCGGATTAAGGCGAGCCCCTCAAATGCCGAGTACAAGATAACTGGACTAAGTGAAAGTCCGTGCAAGGACCAACTGTATGCTTTCGCATCCTTATTTTACTGTTTCTCCTTTTTTCTTCTCTTGTACGTACTGAGAGATATAGTGCATGTTAAAGAATTATGCAACTATTCATGTCACAGATTCTCACTGAAGCAGAGGAGTGGAAATGCTGATGGGGAGGTTCACGCTGTGGAAGTTACTGTTTATGATTATTTTGTCAACCATAGGAAGATAGATTTGCGTTACTCTGGAGATTTTCCATGCATTAATGTTGGGAAACCAATGCGTCCAACTTACATACCACTGGAGGTAAATAAACGCTAGGGTTGACATTATCCCCTTTAGCTAAATTGTGAAATGTCTTATATTTACTAATCCGGGGGAAACTATCTGAGAATATTTTGTGTTTTAGCTCTGTTCATTGGTGTCCTTGCAACGTTACACAAAATCTTTGACAAATTTCCAAAGAGCTTCACTGGTTGAGAAGTCGAGGCAGAAGCCCCAAGAAAGGATGAGGGTTTTATCAGATGTACGTGTCGCCTGTTTCTGATTTATCTGTTCAGCGGCTTTAGCTAAGTTGTACTTATCTATGTAAGATTTGATGGTTTTCTCTAGGCTCTGAAGCGGAGCAACTATGATTCTGAACCTATGCTACTTTCATGCGGCATCACAATTAGCAATAGCTTTACTCAAGTTGAAGGCCGCATTCTACCGGCTCCTAAGGTGCCACTGCTCATTTCCCTTTTGCATTTTGTTTGCTGGATAAAAAAATTTCAGTTTGTTTGCAATGGACTGTTAGACAATCATCTGGAATAACGCAAATTTCTGTGGCTTCCTTCCCAGCTGAAAGTGGGCAATGGAGAGGATTTCTTTCCCCGCAATGGACGGTGGAGCTTTCAGAATAAGGTTATTTGAATTATCTGCCACCGATTAGCACGTTCAATTAGTCTGTTTATGCTATCTTTTCATTCTTCTGCAGAAATTTGTTGAGCCAGCCAAGATACAGAAATGGGCTGTGGTGAACTTCTCTGCTCGTTGTGATGTGCGTGGGCTTATAAGAGATCTGACTAGATTAGCTGAAATGAAAGGACTTGTGAGTCTCATATCCTGTCTGCTGCAACATTTGCCTTGATGACTGATAGACACCTTTCTCATCCCCTGATTGCCCTGTTGGTTGTGTTTCTTATATCTTCTCTAATGTCAATTATAATGCAACATATTCCCATAAGCTCATGGATAGTCCATTGCCATCATGTAGCTCACCGAACAACCTTTTGACGTGTTTGAGGAAAGCCCCCAATTCAGAAGAGCCCCTCCTGCTGTTAGAGTGGATAAAATGTTTGAGGAGATACAGGCTAAACTACCTGGGGCACCACTCTTCCTTCTTTGTTTGATTCCAGAGAGAAAGAACTGCGAAATCTATGGTATAGTCCATTGCATCTGTTTGTTTGTATTGCTAAATTGTTGGCTACATATCTAAGATTCCTTGTGCTCATTCGATACTTTAGGTCCATGGAAGAAGAAAAATCTTTCTGACTATGGAATCATCACCCAGTGCCTCTGTCCCATGAGGATCAATGACCAATACCTCACCAATCTTCTTCTCAAGATTAATGCAAAGGTGAACAATTCTAATGATTAATTCTTTTAGATCCTTTTTGTGTTGTAAGTTAACCAATTGCTCAATGATTATCAAACCATACATGTGTCTTGGTGGCTTGAACTCTCTTCTTCTCGATGATTATACCCATGCTTTCTTCCTGCAGCTCGGTGGCTTGAACTCTCTGCTGACGGTGGAGCAGTCTCCTAATATTCCTGTGGTTTCCAAGGTCCCCACAATGATCCTTGGAATGGATGTGTCTCATGGCTCTCCTGGGCATTCTGATATTCCGTCCATTGCTGCGGTGATGTGCTAATTCAGCTCATGTAATTACTTAATGTGTAGCTAGTAGCAGGGGCTTAGTGGCTTATAAGGTTCTCTGTCAATTACATCTCAAATGCAGGTGGTAAGCTCTCGCCAATGGCCATTAATTTCTCGCTACAGAGCTACTGTCCGTACCCAATCCCCTAAAGTAGAAATGATAGACTCTCTGTTTAAAAAGGTGTCTGATGACGAGGATGAAGGTATAATAAGGTCAGTTTCTGTTGTCAACTATATTTATATGGGAGACTGGTTCTGCGTAATTTTGAATCATGTGAGAGATCATGTCTTATGACCATGTGTGCAGCTTCAATAATTTGTTTTCTTCATCCAATAAATGAAGCCTTTTTTTTTGGTTTCTAATTTCAGAGAGCTTCTACTGGACTTTTATGTGAGTTCCGGCAAAAGAAAACCTGACCAGATTATCATATTCAGGTCTGTATCTTTAATGATGTGATGTCTCGAGTGTGCCTGTCATTTATGCATTATTGATATTACTAATCCTCTTTTAAGAAGACTAGGAGTACAATTGATTGCACTCTCCAGAGGGATGAGTAGTAGTTTCTCATTGTCTTAGGCCTAAGTAAAAGGAGCGTAAGGGAGATGCATGAGTGATTGTACTTTCACTTTCACTTACTCAAGTTTGCTCACCCATAGATAAAAGGGAAATGATAAGTGTGCTCTAGTATGTTTTGGGAGTTCTTCCACATTTCTCATGAGAAATTATCAATTTTAATCTCATTGATTAATGGGTAATCTTTTGGATTAAAAGTTGAGTTGTTCGCGAGTGTTTGCAGCAGGATGGCATGAGTTGAGCTATTGTTTTTTCACTACTCGATTTTCTGCACTTGCCTGACGACTATAGTGCATAATGAAATATGAATTTTTGCTGGATATGGTAAGCAAAGCCGAAAAAATGCCTTCAGTTGTCAAATTAATACTGTTACGTGGCTTGTGGTTTGTCCTTTTGCAAAGTCAATCCCTAAAGGCCATAATTATTTCAGGGATGGAGTCAGCGAGTCTCAGTTCATGCAGGTCTTAAACGTAGAATTGGATCAGATCATTGAGGTCAGTACAGTCTTCACTGGATCGCAGTGGAACACTGGTTCTCAGTGTTGTTCCACATATTTATGAGATTAAAGTGTTTATGCTCGGAATTTTGTCTTCAGGCCTGCAAGTTCCTTGACGAGAAGTGGTGCCCCAAATTTGTGGTGATTGTTGCTCAGAAAAATCACCACACAAAATTCTTCCAGTCTGGATCTCCAGAAAATAATGTTCCTCCTGGTAAGCCTTTGCTTAACAGCTTGACCTTTGTCTCCATTAAGTGGATCTGCTGAATTTTAACGTTGGTTCTGAGTATTGTTCCACATATTTGTATACTTAAATTGCAGGAACTGTCATAGACAACAAAGTCTGTCATCCTCGGAACAATGATTTCTATCTTTGTGCGCATGCAGGGATGATAGTAAGTTCCTACATTAACTTCAGACTTGTTTAATTCCTGCTGCAATGCCTTGCACCATCTGTGGTAATTTTGTTTGGGGACTGGCACAATAAAATGTAGTTGAACACAAAAAGTGCCTGATTAGGTAAACAATGCAGTCCGCTACCATTTACTTTGCAACTAGACATGTTTTATAGTATTTACTTTGCACTAGTTCGGAGTAATTGTCCTCTCTTGTTTGCCTACCTTACCTGCCAATGCATGTTCTATAGCCAGCTCTCTCGAATGAAATGATATTTCAAATACTCTCAGATATTCATGGCCAATGTCTGGTTATGACTGAAATTGGTAGACAACTTGCTCTATGGCTGTATGTGACTTCATAAAAGATTTAAGAACCAACAACTAATAGGTTTTTTTCGACGGATCGGTTGGAGTTAAAGCTTTAGTTTAAGTATCAGTAACCTGATTGCTATGCTGAAGCAGATTTTTCCAAATGTTGCAATCGTCTTTTGTTGCTCATTCCAGCTTATTTCCAAATGTTAGATGCATTTCAAGAACGAAAAAATTTGGCAATTTTTTCTCTTGTTTTGTTTCTTTTCTTCCATATCTTGTTTGATACTTTGTAGGGAACCACTAGGCCTACGCACTACCATGTGCTATATGACGAGGTCGGTTATTCAGCAGATGATTTGCAGGAACTCGTACATGCTCTATCATATGTGTAAGTGCCTTTTCAATCTTGATCGACTTTTCTCAATTAAATCACTGGAATTTCTAACTTTCCTTGTCACCATTTGCAGATATCAGAGAAGCACAACTGCGATTTCTGTAGGTAAACATACTTATTTCATTTTTTGAATGTCTGAAGAATATTTTGTCCAAGAACGGGTTTTTTAACTGGGTATTTTTTGGGTCAACTCAAGTGGGCGATCTGCTTGGGTCAGTCTGTGTCGTACCTGCGTGCGAGGATGAGTAATGATGAGATCATTACGTGGCAATTGAATTTTCTTGGACATATTCTTGTCAGCTTCTGAGCGGTCCTTCAATCTAGTTAAGCACCACCTAGTAAATCTCTCTTGCATGTGCAGTCGCTCCGATTTGCTACGCCCACTTGGCGGCGACCCAGCTGGGGCATTTCATCAAATGCGAGGATGCATCAGAGACATCGTCTAGCCATGGTGGGCTGACATCTGCTGGAGCCGTTCCCGTCCCTCAGATGCCGAAACTGCAGGATAACGTCAGCAGCTCCATGTTCTTTGTCTAAGCCTATCGTGCATCATTTTGGCCTCCGATGGCAAGCTAAGGTGCAGTTTCAGCTGTATGTGGTAGGAATATAGTAGTCCGTCTTCTTCCATGGGGCTTCCGTGGGTTTTTCCCTGTGGATAATGCCAAATATCTAACTTATATTGACGGAAGGATTGGTCTGTATAATGTGTTTATATGTCCTGACCTGGATGTGACTTGGTAAAACTGCTAGGATGTTTCTAATGTATGCTTGTGCTCTAGCTGCTCTGCATGGCTCTGGTTGGAGTCGGTCTGCAGTAAGGTGTTAATATTTCCGTGACCTGTAACATATGCGTCGGGGATCGCCATGGTCTCTGCACGCAGAGCTTCCAATGCCTCTGCAGGTTTGACTTTGCTCCTGAATTGGCCCATCCCACCATGCTACAAAATCCAGACTGCATGCATTTTGCAGACTCTGACTAGTGTAATCTCAGATTTCCTTAAGAAAGGAAATGGATGCATCTCTTTGAGACTGATGAGGGGATTATTCCAGCTATATACACTCTGATCACTATTTAAATGAGAACCTGCCTTGCTCTAGGTGGGGCAGCACGGAGTGGCCGTTGCGCCGGCCGATCACTCAGCGAGTGATCGGAAACACTGGCGACCTCAGGGATTTCCATCGAGGTAGGAATCACAAAAGGGGGCGAATGTTGGTTAAGGGACCATTCTTGCCGTGATGTGGGATATCTCCACAACATTAGTATTTAGGTCCTCCGAGTACTGATCCACATCAAAAAGACTGAATCTGCTTCATATGATTGTTACTCTTTCCTCTGGTTGAACAACAGAACATTCTCTCATTACCAATACCGACTAAAAACGAAAGAAGTTCATAGTTCGACGCTTAACCATCGGCTGACACCACTTAAACTGTTCCCAGTGACATTGTTTCTTGCTTCGTGCCCACATTAGGCTGACATCAACCGAGCATGAGGACTAAGGACTCAATGAGAATTCCATTTAAAAGGATGAGCTTAAAGGTTCAAAGATACTTTTTTCCCCTCCGTGCATTTCCAAGAAATCGTGATTTATGGCTGGCTGTGCAAGGGTCTGTCTAACTTTCTAATTTTTCGCTTAATATTTTGCTACGTTTTTCTTTTCAAAATTCGAAATATTTGAAGTCGTGAAAGCGCATTTGTAGCTTTCTTTTTTTTTGAAAATTTTGAATACCCATTAACTCTTCTTAAGAAAGTGCAAATATAAAAGTACCTTCTCATTTTATTAAAGTTCAAACAAACAGACCCTTGATATGATTAAACTGGCTTGCTAATGCTGTCGGAGAGAGGGTCGCATACGAGATACAATCATAACCTTGATCTGACATCACAATCCCTCCTTTACGTGCATCACGCAATTGCGACCATCCAAGCAAAGTATCGAATTCAAACACATTTTGCAACAAAGTATAGAACTTCCCAACATATTTTGCCAGAACCAGGTTGCGTAAATATAATCTTATAGACCAGGATGAAGCTTGTGTTCGTTCTCTGTTGCTGGCCCCCCAGCCGAAAAAACTTTCACAGTGGGAAAGAATATGAATTCAATGAAGAAAAACCCCTTGATTTGGAGAACTAATATCCCGATTTCAACAGTTGGTTTAAGGAAGGAGGCTGGGAGGCAACGGCAAATATCAACATCAAACAGATTGGTAGGGCTATCACCAAGTAAAATAAAACCAAGCACAAGTTCTCAACCCGCCACATCACTCCAAGGTACGGGACTGACTAACCAAAAGAGGACAAGACTCCGAACTGAGATATCAGATTAGCACTCATCGAAGTTGTTTAGACAATGTAGGTTTGCTCACAGGACATACAGAATCTATCCTATCTTATTCAAATCAAAGACAATGAACCAGACAGATTCTATTTCGTGAAGCAGTCAGCGCCACTGCTACTTTCCTAGTTCAGTTCTTTAGGCAGGTGAAGATCTCGCACCAGTGACCCCCCTCATCCTAACAGACACAGTGATAAAAGGAGCTCCAATCTCGACACTATAAAAACCTGACAGCACTTGGCCAGATAGGGTTTAGAATATAGCAACTTACGCATCCTCCATTCATGTCCTCGAAGTCGAATCAAATTGACCGACTGCATCGCCTGTCTTCTCCTTACTTCAGACAACTTAACATAGGTCGTGCAGAGCAACAGAGATGCAGATTTGGAGAGCTACATATAGTCCATGGAAACATCAAATCTTGCCAAGCTTCCACACTTTGCAACAACCATATAAAAAAACTCATATCAACTGCAGCATCCACAGTATATATAACCCTGAGAGGAATCACAGATAAAGCCCCAAGAAACTTCTACACGTTCATAGCAGAACTCCAGAGACCACAAACCAAAATCTAAGATGATGTTGAGGTGAAGGGAGAAAAGGATCTTAGGGGTGTCCTTGGACAATCGGAATGGAATGTCGCCAAGCAACTCGAGGGGAAAAACTTTTTCATTGTACATCATGCTATAAAAGTTTGCAATGGTTGCCAGACCAATAGAGTCGACGGTTTAATAAAAAAATCCCAAAAAGTTTAAGTAGGTGTCCTTTGAATTAGATGCAATGAGATCAAGGTAGCAAGAGGTCACAAAGGATAAATTACCAGCAGAAAGTTCCTATCATGGAGAAGAGAAGCCACGCATTGAACTATTAGAAAACAGGAGTGAATGAGGTTTTCCCCTTTTTTTTTCCCTTCCATGGTGCAAAGCACTCGAGCTGCTTTAAGAATTATGAAAGATATATCCTCACCTGACATAGATCTGCTTCCAGAAGCATAGCATCACTATGGTTGCTAAGAGGAGCCCCATCAAGCTGGTATAGAATTTTCATTCTAACAAAATACGCAAAAGGGCAAAACAAGACCGCAAAAACTTGTTTAATCGGCCATCAAAGAACAGAACAACTATTTAAACAACTGAGGTTCACAAAAAACTCTTTTGCCATTCAGCGCATTAAATATTTTCGGCAAAGGATAATATAATAGAGCCTCATGCATGATGGTGAATTTTTAGTTAAAGAAATGTTCTCTGCTTGAAAACTCTACCTGTTCCCCAACACTTTCAACGTAACAAGAAAATGGAAATGAAGAACTATAAAGTTTTTAAAAACAAGTGAAGGGGAAAAGTACTGGAATAGCAATTAAGATACAAGTTTGAGATTCAGGTCTAGGGATCTCTATAGAAGACAAATAGTTCCTAATCAGATTTAAAGATACTTTGCAAGAGATCCTGGAACTTCAGAAGATTCACCAGAGTCCAAAACTAAATGACTGATGCATCTATGAAGGAATCTGCACAATGAACATACAAAGCATGAATATACTAATTATAAATGACTAAACAAGTTTGGATCAAGTACCATACCTTTAGCAACTCAAAAGGATGAAAGCATCTTAATCTCATTTATTAGCAGACCATCTAAGAGCGTATGCAAAAAAGAGGAGCACAAACAGATTTCAAAAAAGGACAAGAGCACGACAAGTCAAACCATATTAAGTTTGAACAAACAACAACGCTACGCTATCTTTAAATCTGTCGATGTCATCACCTGCATTTACTATACAAGCATTAACAAGCAAAACAAGAGTGCAGCGGCAAATATACCTGTTCATAATAATCCAAACATAATATCAAGAACAAGAATGTATTGACAAGTGAGACATCTATGAAAGCAGCTCCAAGCATAATGTTGAATTACAGAACACCAAAGCAATATCCAGTTGAGATTATTAGGTACTTTTACATGTAAATCAAATAGAGTTTGTTTCGCATGAGACATGGAACACAAGGCTTATACATTGTAAGATAAGGAGTTTTCACAATTCATATGATATTCTTAGTCTAGACAGGTCATTTTGTAACTGAAGGCCTTTCTGAACATAATCAAACCACTCATGTTGGACTTGAAAAAGTCTATCACTTTCAGCATGGTACCATAGCCAATGTTCGTTTTAAGACTTCTAGACACCCAGCAGGAACCCAAACAAAAAAATGCGTAAAGAACGTATTGAACTCATTGTAATAAATGTTTCTTACTACCAAGGCTTAGTGTGTTAGATTGTCTGGTCAATATCAACCAACCCACATCATAAAGCATACGAACACCAAACTTAGCAAGATACAATAGACTGTTCTAATCCATGAAATGATGCAGACCGATACATGCATCAACACAAATTTTACAAAAAATCTCACTACTCAACTTGTTAGATGAAATCTATGTGCTTTGGGACTAAAAATGGATTGATGAGAGTTTGAAACACAAAATATAAGGGAACAAAAACTTCAACATGGCCGACTAATGTGGTCAGCTCCTTTGATTATTTATCTGGCCAATCAATTGACTATACCATCTTTTGATCATTGATCCTGTCATTTCAAATTGAAGGTAAAATAAAGCGGCCTTTCTTTTGCACCGACGCAACACTTTGGACATGCTTAGCAAGATACAATAGACTGTTCTAATCCATGAAATGATGCAGACCGATACATGCATCAACACAAATTTTACAAAAAATCTCACTACTCAACTTGTTAGATGAAATCTATGTGCTTTGGGACTAAAAATGGATTGATGAGAGTTTGAAACACAAAATATAAGGGAACAAAAACTTCAACATGGCCGACTAATGTGGTCAGCTCCTTTGATTATTTATCTGGCCAATCAATTGACTATACCATCTTTTGATCATTGATCCTGTCATTTCAAATTGAAGGTAAAACAAAGTGGCCTTTCTTTTGCACCGACGCAACACTTTGGACATGCTTAGCAAGTGTATTGGACAATGATGGCAGGCCACCCGAAAGATCAGATTACATTTTAAATGGGAATGATGGAAGTGAGGAAAATGAAATGAGATCAAAATACTCCACAAGTAGCAGCAAATGTAAGATCTTACTCACCTAGTGTCCCATGTATGGGGGTCCGCCGCTCTGCGGAGGCCTACCAGAAGTCCCCTGACCCATCTGTGGATTCTGGTAAACACCTTGCATCCCAGGTTGCATCCCATAGCTTCCGGCAGGTTGGCTAGCATATCCTCCCGGCATCCCACCTTGGTTCATCGGAGGTGCTCCTATACCTCCCAGCAAATTACCAATTCCCAACCCAGCTCCTTGGGTGGCAAGAATAGCAGTCAAGGCCTGTCCAAGTGCTGGATTGAACGCCTGCGCTGGCCCAGGATTAAACGCGACAGCTGGTCCCGGAGGCGCCATCAAATGTCCTGGAGCCGACCCACCACCAGCTGCATACTTATTTTTGTCTTTCCTGGGATGGGAATACTGCGGTTGGTGGTATTGGTGATGCTGTTGATGCCCGCCGAAGTTTTTACCTGGTTTTGGCCCATCAATTGCCTTTTGGCAGTGCAAAGTAATCCCTTCGAAGGTCTTGTACGGCTCCTCCAAAGCCTTCTTAGCACTCTCAACGGACTTGTAAACAAACAAGGCGAAACCTTTCGGCTTACCAGTCTGTTTATCGAGCCCCAGAGGACCATCCTCAACCTCCCCAAACTGCTTAAAGAACTCCAACAGCTTCTCAGGATCAACGTCTGCCGACACATTGCTCACGAAGATCTTTCTCAGGGTGTACTCCGAAACAGGAGGCGTGCTAGGAGGCGGGGCTGGGACTGGGCCCGTGGACGCCAGCTGGCATGAGGTGACGCGGTTGCCGATCTTCTTCTGCGGCTGCTTGAGAGCCTTCCGCGCCCCGCTCCGATGCTTGAACAGGATGAACGCATAGCCCTTCGACTTCCCGGAGACCCTGTCCGTGACCGCCTTGCAGTCCTCGATCTCCCCGTACTTCCCGAAGACCGAAATTAGGGATTCGGCAGTGGCGTCCCAGCCGAGGCCGTGCACGAAGATCTTCCTGTGAGCAGGATCCGCGTCCGCCACGCCTCTCACGCTCTCGATCAAGTCGGGGTACTTAGCCACGGCCTGCTTGAGAACCATAGTCAGCTGCTCCTTCGTGAACGGCTCCAGAAGCTTCTCCACGGGCTCGTCGTCCATCTCGTCTCCGTCTTCTTCCTCTTCATTATTCTCCTCCGAAGCTCCATTCGCCTGCGATGCTGCCGGCTCCGACGCGCCGCCGCCGCCGCCGCCGCCCCCGCCCGGTGCATTTAAATCGGTCCGCTCCTCCTGCTCCTGCTCCCGCTCCCGCTCTTCTTCCTCAGCTTCCGGCCTCCCTTCCACCTTCTCCGCCTTCGGCTCCCCGATCTGCGGCTCGACTTCCGACGCCGCCGGATTCTTCTGCGCAGAGTCGTCCACGGCCATGCTCTCCGGCTCTTGCTTCGCCGCCTCCTCGGGGACCGGCTCGGGCTGCCCGGCCTGAGAGGGCTCTTGCTGGTCCTGAGGCTCCGCGGGTTTGGCCGGGGCCGGGTCGGAGGATCGGAGCTTTCGCTTCTTGGCCATGGCGGGGAGGGCGGTGGCGGTGGTGGTGGTGGCTTTGGGGTTTGGCTTTCCGGTGGAGCTTAGCTAGGGTTTGGCGATGGCGGAATCGGGATTGAATTCAGCAAATGATTGGGAAGGAGAGAGCTTCGGTCACGTCGACGAGAATCACACCGACCCTTCTTGTTGGTTATGACTGGGCCGGAGCTTCTGGGTATTGGGCTTTTATACACTGCCGATCCATCCAGGCCCGCTTAGGCCCAATAGCTTTTTCTACAGAGAACTTAATGATATTTTAATCACTCGCAAAAAGGGGCATCGTCAGCAACGGCATCTCGCTTGATCGTGCCTCTACCAAGCCGCGACTCGACGTCGTCAGGGGGTCCAATGCTTTTTCCGGCGAGCTGTTCGAAAGAACCGGCATGATGTCGCAAAGATTGGGCGCGTTACTCTAGTCTCATGCAAGTTATAACGGTAACTACCGCCTCGCATTTATTCCAAACGCCCCTTGAAATCTGAGAACGCGTGCATACGCGCGCGCACCCAGAAAGCTCGCCCACCTTTTAGCTCCCGAGGGATCTAACCTCAAGTCTGTCACGTGTTATAAAGAAAATCGAAATCGACACCAGACTTTCCGATTTATCAGTGTCTCGATCGAGCTCAAGAACAAGAACTACGAGGAACTACGCCAAGCTAGTGGGTCTAAGTGAATTACAACCTCAATAGAATTATTGTCTTAGTTAATTGAGATTATTGTTGGAGAAAAAACAAAGAGTCAAACGTGAGGAGTAAAAACAAAAAAGAAAAGACGAAAAAAAAAGAGAGAGAAATCTCAATGGGCCGAACCACATCACGCGCGCCTCGCGTGACATAACCATATCAAGCAACCCAAAAAATACAAAATTAAAAGATGAAGAGAGAGAGCAGAGAGAGAGAGAAACGGCATCCGATTAATCGCTTCTCACTAGGAACACACACGGTGCGTGGATCCATCCCCTGGCCACGACGGAGCTCGAATTGGAGTCTAGATTCGAGAATTGTCAGATCCTTCGTCCTCCAGGTAGATTTCTGCTCCTGGCTCTTTCTCTTCCCTCTTCGGATTATCAGTCCACCATCGTTTTCTTTGTTCTTTTTGGCTCTGTTTTGGACCATTTCTGTAGCCAGTTTGTAGTAGCCCGCGTTGACCGAGGAACGTGGGTTTGCGTCGCTTTGCTTTTGCTTTTGCTTGATCACAGTGCTTGTGTTTCCTCCGTATATAAGCTGAGAGCGGGAGAAACGAAGTCATGGGTTTGAGTGAAGATGAGATTTTTCTTTTCTTGGGGGGGGGGGTTTGAATTTGGGAGTTCGAGAGTGGGCAAGTGAGGGACTGAATCGAGGAGACGATTTGATCATTGTTGTAAACTGAATCGATGAGACAGACGAGGGAGAAGAAAAGGGTGTTTTTCGGATTTTTGGTTATTGCAGCAGGCAGTTCTGTAAGCTCGCTACCTTGTACAGTGATAGGTCATTGGGTTGAAGAGAGAAAGACCCTTGCTTTCGTTTTTAATGGGGATTCAAACAATGGGGTTACAAAGTAACGGCCAAGAGACCCATTTTCAATTGCAACCCTCATCACCATCACTGAACAGGCAAGGCTCGTGGTATAACCTCACTCTCGAAGAAGTTGTGACCCAACTGGGGGATCCGGGGAAGAAACCTCTAGGTAGCATGAACCTCGATGAGCTTCTTAAAAATGTATGGACTGCTGAAGATAGTCGGTGTGCAGGGATGAATCGCGTCGGGAGTGGCGCATCCCCGTCGTCATTGTCGCTGCAGCGCCAGGCCAGCTCGACGCTGCCCAGGGTGCTCAGCGGGAAGACGGTCGAGGAGGTGTGGAAGGAGATCCAGCAGGGGCAGAAGAAGAGGAGCGGGTCGGAGGTGAGGGGTCAGGGTGGGGACCAGAACCTCGGCGAGATGACTCTAGAGGATTTCTTGGTGCAAGCCGGGCTTTTTGCCGATGCTTATTTGGGTCCTTCAATGGATCTAAACCTCTCGGAGCCAGCAACTCCTCAGAGTGTTACCCCGCCGCTCGGTTTGTCTCCGGCTCCTTCAACGGGCCTGCTATCGGATACGTCGGTGCCTAGGCGGAAAAGGGGTGACCCAGTTGCATATGAAAGGACACTTGAAAGGAGGTTGAGGAGAAAGATCAAGAACAGAGAGTCGGCTGCACGTTCACGAGCTAGAAAGCAGGTTGGCCCTTTGTTTCTTTTGCAATCTTGAGGATTTGTTTGTTAAGACGTGATTCTGACCTCTATCATTCTTCTGACTACCTTACATGTTAAACTGCAGGCTTACCAAAATGAGCTGGTGAACAAGGTTTCACATCTAGAAGAGGAGAACATAAAGCTAAAGAATGAGAAGGTAAATCTGATCTTAATACTTGGTCCGTGAGGGCTAGTACGCTCTTGTAGAAAGAAGTTATGCACTGTCCGACTACTTGTTTCTGCAAGACAAGGTAAGACTAGGTTGTGCATAGACGAAGCAGTTCTCGTAGGAACAGTTCTTTAAGTAGACTATTCATCTAATGAGGACCGCTTGGCTCCGTTCGTTTCCGGAAAAATATTTTCCCGGAAAACATTTTCCGCATTTTCCGGTGTTCGGGGGCGGAAAATGTTTTCCGTGGGAAAATATTTTCCTTCCCCACCCCCAAATCCTTCATTGTTTTGAGGAAAATGATTTCCTCTTTAAAATGATTTCCTCTTTTCACAAAGAGGAAATCATTTTCCCCCAAAGTGAAGGCAAAATTGCCCATGGGAGGGAAAATATTTTCCGTGGGAGAGGAAGTTGATCGCCGGTCACCGACGTCGGCCGCCGGTCGTGGCCGCCGGTTGCCGCTGCCGCCCGTCGCCGCCGCCCATCGCCGCCCATCGCCGCCGACCGCCGCCAGTTGCCGATCGCCGCCGCCGGTCGCCGGACGCCGCCGGATCGGCGGTCGCCGAACACCAGAAAATATTTTCCGAAACTTTTTCAGATTTTAGCCGAACACCAGAAAATTGTGTTCCAGGAAAACATTTTTCAGGAAAATAACTTCCGGGAAAATATTTTCCAAAAGGAGAATATTTTCCGCCAAACGAACGGAGCCTAAAAGCTTTTTGATTTTCCAGCCAAAGAGTTTTTAAGGGTTGAAGTGTTCAATAGCGAATAGAGGCTTGATTATAAACTGTAAAAGTTAAAGCTACAGCAAAAAGCTAGAAGCCACAACCAACACTGACAACCCCTTAAGCTATCAATTTTATAAGATATTTGTATGTTGTTCAATTTGCATTAAATTCCAAGTACTCTCATTTCTGATTAATGTACTTGGTAAGAATAATAATGGTAATTGGACCCTCTGACATGGCTATATTATCTGTGATTGATAGATTTCACACTCAGGCAAATGCTTCTGCATAATAAGGGCCAAACTATGTGAGGCAGAGTTTAGTTCCATCTTACTAATTTTTATGATTGGGGTGTCCTGTTTCTGGGAATCTTATCCACGTGTCTGTGTACGAGTGATTAGCGACTTTTAAAAACTTCAGGCATGCCACAATGATTATAGTGTTTGTCATGGGAACTAAGAACTTGTTCCACGGATCTATGGATTCTCCCTTTATCCTAAAACCTATTTTGTTGTGGCCTTTCCTATCAGTTGTTGATCTCCTTCTTGCATAAGACTTAGTCGACTGGACACTAGGTGTTGGTGCTATGACTACTATATGACTAATGACTCTCTTTCAGGGACTAAAATGATGAGACTTTCAAGATATGTTGTAACCTTAATCACTGTGTATGGTTTTCTTGTACTTCTATAATGATAAAATCCACTGGCAAGAGTACCTTGTCTATCACGTGAGAACACGGATGAAATCCAATTTGTTATCAAATTGATGGGCGTTTCTATACGGAGACATGTTAGTTTTGGTATTGCTTAGGTGGGCTGTTTGATGTCACAAGAGTTGCTTCGGTTTTTGGACATTATCTATGATTTTATACGTCCATAAAAACTTAGTATAAGTTGATGCTGTTTATTTATAGACTTTGCAAATGGGCCACGAATCACAATATTGGCTGTGGTTACTGGTTTGTGCCTCAATTAGACTATATAAGAATCAACTTTGGAAGAATTAAACAATTTTAGTAAAAGAACCATTTAATTTTGACAAGGTATTAATGTTTGAGATACTTCATGCAATGAAAATGAGGATGAATTATGAGTCAGTAATTCTCTCACCAGTGGGGCGCCTGAATCGAGATTTGTGACGTAGAGGACTAAGACAGTCTTTTAGGGGATAACAGCATCTGTTATTTAGCATGGCTATGTGGTGTGAATATTATAAATAAATTACCGTTTTTCAGTGATTGTCTTGATAATATGCTTTCACTTTTGAAATGTTGCAGCCACCGATCTCAGTTACGCTTAGATGCTTTTTCTATATAAAATAGGATTTTCCATATCTGTAATTGCCCCTTTTTTTTCTATTGTTCTGCCTAGCGTCCATTTGCTACCATATCTGTTATTGCCCCTTTCCTTTTCTATTGTTCTGGCCATCTTCCATTTGCTCAGAGGAGCGTGCACTATTTCAGTGGCTGTGAAATTTAGTGTCTTAAAGTTTGGCCAAAGAAAAAAAGTTTGTGTGCTGAAGAAAGATTTGTCAGTCAGTTTAGGTTGATGGGCACTTGTGTAGCAGCTTGTAACCATTGCGGAATGGCATCAAAATATATCATCTACCTTCCTGATGGGAGGATATCAAATCATTTTATGTCCTCTTTGTAATTTTGGCCTTATTAATCTACGGAATTTAATGGTGTATACTATGCCTACCAATCTCAATGTATGAGTGTGGAGATGCTTAGGTCTTCATCCTACAACTTAGTTACTTCATGCAATTGGTGTTTTCTGATCGCGATGAATACGGGAACACCCAGAAAATCCTAGCAGAGAAGGTTTTTCATTCCTGTTCTGTGTTTAATCTAGATGCAACCAGTCTTGATCCTGTCACTTGAAACACAATTCCAGGAATGTGGGGTTTTGCACTGTGCACTAGGGGGGGGGGGACCGAAGATATGTGAAATATGTGATTTTGTTCTTTCAACATGATTTTCATCTAGTCTGCAGCTGCACAGACTTTTTGTTGATAGCGTTGAGCATACATCAACATGACCTGACTGTTTTAACCGGAATATATATTATCTAGTAAACATGCTTAAGAGTCGAATTATTGCGACAATGAATGATTGATTGGTTTTGCGGAACGTCGCAACACACGTCCTTGGTTTTGCCATTCTTCCAAGTATATATGATCTATTCTTGATTTTCTTTTACAATTTTACCCTTTCGCATGACGGTAAAAAACAAAAAATAAGGAAGCATTGGTGATTTTGTTACACTGGCTGTTGTTCTTCCCTGTAGGAATTCGAGACTAAGTTTCAAAACGAAGCGTCGCCGGAACCGAGATATCAGCTTCGCAGAAGCAGTTCAGCCTCCTTTTGAATCCTATTCGGTCCATTTCCTCTATGTGGTGGCCTCCTTGAACCGTCGGTGGCTGCGGCTACTTCTTGAACTGCAGACGTCCGTCCTTGCATCATCTATTCGTAGAGTGAGTTCTCGTGTACATTTGCTAGTTAACTTATCGTAACGTGTATATGCTGCGAGGCATCCAAGATGCCGTGTCCATAGAATCCAGGCAGTGTATGTTCAGACTGATGAAAGGAGTAGGAAAAGAGAAGTGAATTTTATGCCTTGGCACAGTGCTTTGTATGGCCTCGTCTGATACCTGCCCTTGATATGTGAAAGGAGTCCGCCCTGTGTTTGGAGGCATTATTAGGTGCGTCGGATCCATTACGGCCGATCGCTGCACTCGAATCTTTGGATCCGGGTGGTTTCTACTCGAGATTCACCTAATCCAATGATTGATAACCGGCGTGCACAAAGAATCTTTCGTGTTTCATATGTTTTCGCTGTCGAGATACGCACGCCGATGTTATCGCATTTTTTCTCTTGGGATCATTAGCAAGCTCTCACTTTCATTGGCGGGACGAAAACTGCGGGCGCAGAATCAAACCTTGAAAAGGTAGATGAAACCGGGGAAAGTTCGAGCCCCTTTTTATTAGTAGTGCTCCGTGAAAAGGCTCGCCATTCGTGATTATATAAAGAACTTTGGAAGGTGTAAACTACACGGCACTACTAATTTATTATGCTTAGATGTTGTGCCGTGTCGGGTCGAGTCGTATTTACGGGGTATTGGTTGTGTAGGGATACTCTTCCCGGGTCCTGTGGTTGTGTCGTGTACCGTCATCATATGATGCATTGTTGAATTCGCGGCACGAGTCCGGCTAATAAACGAAAAGGGAAAAAAAAAATCTCTCCTCTCCTCTCTACCTCTTCTCCAGTTCTCATTCTCTAATCCAAATGGGTGGCAAAATGGGTCTAAAATCCATATTTAATAGTTGGTCATAAATGAATTGTCTTTAGTTTTAGAAACAAGCTTAAGTTGGGTCATTTACTTAACAATTTAATGGGTTTTAAATGGATTATAAATTGATCATAAATGGGTTACGTGATTATATTAAGTGAGTCTAACTCAACTAAATTCTGAGCCACCCACCCTTGTTGGTGACGTCGTGGACTGCCCGCCGCCAGCCCCTTCTCCGGCCATCAAAGCTCGGTCTGCGGCTCGCTCATCCACACTCGGTCGACCATCGATCTCTTCCGGCACCGACGAGACTCTCTCTCTCTCTCTCTCTCTCTCAAGTCAAAATCCCATCTCGGGTCCAAAACTCGGCTCGGGGGGCCTCAATGCGATCCCGGCCTTGCGTCGGATCTTGTACATGGCGGCTTGGTTGAAGCTCGCCCGTCGCCGACCCCTTGCCCGAGCGATTCCCGGGCGGGGGGGGGGGGGGGGGGAGGGGTCCCGTGGCGGCGGTCGATTTCGCCGTCCGTTCAGCAATCACGGTCAAACGGATACAACGCTCCCATCACACATATTCAATGGTTCTACCAAACACCGGGAGGCACATTGGAATAACTTTTTGATCACGGGGTCGCGAATAGTTTTTTCTTTACCAATAACAACAATGGAATTCTTCTTAACATTTAGTATTATTTTTAATTCTATACATTTTCCTTCTGCTCCTCCTTCCTGCGTCGTTGTTGTCGTTTTCAATCGATGACAACAGTGGAGTTTGACAAGGGGAAAGGCGAGGGGATAAGGACAGAAAAGCCAAAGAGGATAAGCTTTGGCACAATTTTCATGCACATCTCTGTCCTTCCTTTTGTTCGTACTACAATTACACTTTCATCATACATTTTCCGTCATTATAATTTGGCATCATTTCCTCTTCCTTTCTTTCTTTCTTTCTTTAATTTTTACATATCGTTGCTCGACTCCCCCACTTCGGGGTGCAATTTAAAATTTGATTTATTGGACGGAATTCCGGTTATAATGCCAGAAAGATTACATGATTCAGAGATGGACCGCACGTAATATTATTATTTTTCGCAATTTATTATTCGACACGTGTCGCGACAAGACCTCGCGAGAGGCATTGGATGAACCCTTGGATTGCATTTATGTGTTGATTTAAAGAAAAGAGGAACGTTGCATGAGCTCTCTCGAAGCCACTCCCTTACATTTTTCGAAAAAATGAAAAGAGGAAATTGCCTAATTAGTCATAAATTTATTGTGCAAATGCCAATTAAATCTTTAACTTACTGATTTTACCAATTTAGTTATAAATATTTGGGCGAAATGCCATATGTAATCCTCATGGTCAATTTTTGGACATGGTGATCCGATCATCGCTGGACGTCTTACGCGGCCTACCGCCATGTCAGTGATTTCCAAAAATTGATCGAAGTGACTAAATTAGAATTTTGCGTAAAAATTTAGGACTGTATTGATAAAACCAAAAAGTTTAGGTCCGAATGACCAATTCCCCCTGCATTTTTCCCTTCTTGTCTTTTTCAGACTTAAGATGACTATTCACTTAGTATTTTCGATTTTATTAAAATGTATATATGAACCTATTTAATTGGTCTCAAACGGTTCATAAATTCACCGAGTGTTTAAATATTCTTGAAGCGTTTGGCTCTATATATATATAAGGCATGACCTTTTAACACGGCCCTTCAAACATACTTGAAAAAAATGCACAATCGTTCTTTGACGTGGCGAAAACAACAACCTCTGCCATTTTGTCAAATCTCGTGACTTTTTTGTTCGCGTGTCGGCTCACCTAACTCTCGTCGTGTTGGCAGCTAGTAATGACCGCTACCGGTACATTCTTTAACCCCCCCAAATGCAATCCGGCTTTTATCTTAACACAACACTTCAAACGTACCTGAAAAAAAAAAAATGCACGATCGTTCTCTAATGTGGCGAAAACAGCAACTCCTGCCGTTTCGTCCATTCTTAACCCCCCCAAATGCGGTCCGGCTTTTATTTCGATATCGGTTTCCTCGACACCGAAATCAAATTGTTTTTCTCCAAACAAAGCGCAGAAGAAAAAAAAGAAATCCTCTCATCCTAAATTAAGCAAGCGGAATATTCCTTTATTCAAAGGCGGGGGAAAAAACAAAAAACAAGAAAATATGGAAGCCTTTTGTTTTATCATCGAAGAAAACATCCTCCAAATTTTCGAGAAAAAGCAACAATTGAAAAGCCAAGAAAATCCCGAGTTAATGGTATCCAATTATTTTGTCCCATAATAAGGACCGAAAAATGCCCTGCTGAGCTGGCCGTCATTGATTGGCCCGCCGTCTCGAAAGCCCCAAAACCCCAAAAAAATAAAAAAAAAACGAAAAAAAGAAAGTCGAAAAAGTCATCCGACCTTCCAACTCAGATCTTATCCGGAAAGAAAACCCCACTCGCCACGTCACGCGATCGTCGTGCGCTCAGCTCCCGATCACCGCGGGCCCCGCGACCCGATTCGTCACGTGCTCGTGCCACGTCAGGCGCACGCCGATCTGATCCCTACAGTCACAGTATCCCCGCAATACCAACCCAAAAAATAAAAAATAAAAAATATAAATCGCGCCCCCCACCCTCCACGCGCCGCCCCCCTCCACGCGCCGCCGCACGGACCTCGTACGGGAAAATTAATTCGAGGCCCCCGAAAATAAAGAAGGAAACGACGTGCGCTCCGGGCCCGCCGCTTCCCTCGGTCCCGCGACCCTAAGTCCGGTGGGGGACCAAAGATCTTTACATAATAATGGATTATCGTTTAAATTTTCCATCTAAGCCATACAGAAAAATTCTTTATAATTTTAAAATTTGTTATCGTGTTTCAAAAATAAAATCACGAGAAGAAGTCGGAGTGTGAATTTTGTGTGGATTTTCAATAGTTATCAGTGTTATTTCATGAAAATTCCTAATCGTTTCGGATTGGAAAAGAAGTCGGAGCGTGCGAGTCACGTGATTCAAATTAGACGTAAAAGCAAAAAAAAGTCCGTCGAAACCGTCCTTAATGTAGAGCTAAACCCTTAATTTATTTATTTACGTGTTTTTATCTTCTGACTTTTTTTTTCCTATACGACCAAATGCCGTCTTCCTCGATTAATGCAATCCGGATTTTATTTTGTGCAACCAAGCGCGTTGTTAATCCATCATGACTAACGTCGTCAAACTAGAGCTCTTTCTTCTTCTTTTTTTTTAATTTATTTATCAAATTTCGTTTTTTCATTGCTAATTTCACGATCATCTGGGGTCGAACTAACGTGATTTTGCCCGTTTTTTCCCCCCATCATTAAACAATTCGATGTCAAGTGGAGGTGGTCGATCAGAAGCTTTGCTCGCACAATTCGAGAAAGCCAGCCAGATGATTTGATTGCATAAAATAAAATTCCAAAGATCAGATCGCAGAATTAAAAAAAAAAAAAAAAAAGGGGCGGGGCACTTGATCGCGAACAAAATAAATTTATAGTCGGCGAGAGTCAGGGCATTAAATCGCAAAAGTTAGAAAATTTAATAGGAAATTCGCAACAAATCCTCAAAATGGAATTAATTTTAGCCCCGCTCTTTCCATTAGGAAAGCCGCCCCACCCCCAAAAAAAAAAAACGGTGGCGGGCCCCACCGCGCCGGCGGCCGGCGGGTGGGGCGGCGGCGGGTGGGTGGCGCGTCCCGGGGGAGGCGCGTGAGCTTATCGTGACGTGCATTACTTCTTCTCTCTCGTTTAGTTTATCCACTTCGTTCCATTCCCACGACTCTCTCCTCTCTCTCTTCTCTCTCTCTCCCAAAGCCTGCATCTTCGTCTCCGGCGGTGCTGCGGCGGCGCTGAACGATCGTCGCCCCCCGCAAATCGGAATGCGACGGCTCTGATCGCCGGACCGGCCCGCCATTCTCGCTCCGCTCGCACCTCCTCCTCCTCCTCCTCGCTTCTCTCTCTCTCTCTCCTTCTGAAGCTGCACCAGTGATTATTATATCTATGTACGTATTACGCATCGGAACCGAGGGGGTGTTGTGCGCGTGAATGGTGTAATAGATTGCATTCCATTCCGCCGTAGCTTTGGCTTGGTGCGAGTCGGAGCCGCGATCTGCAGATCTACGAGCGAAGGCATGGGAAACGCTAATGGCAGAGAGGAAGGCCCGCACGACGACGCCGGGAGCGACGACGCCGCCGCCGGATCGAACGGCGGGCGGGCTCCCCGCGAGAACCACGCGCCGGCCCCGCACGCGCCGCCCTCTGAATCCGTGAGCCGCGCTCCTCCTCCTCCTCCTCCTGCTGCCGCCGCCGCCGCCGCCGCGCGCGCTCCTCCGTCGCCCCTCGTTTTCGCTCCTCAGGTCATTCCATGTCGCTCTCGCTCTCGCTCGCTGCGCGGTTTGCGTGTACGGTCGTTGTTCCGTGTGATGCCGGGCGTTGATCGCGGTCGACTTTTTTTGACCTGTCCATCGATCATGTTGTTTCTGCCGCTGGATGTAGTGCGCGCGTGTTATGGTTGTGTTGTCCGTGCTTGTTTTCCGATCGGGTGCATACATCTGTCGGCGATGAATACGACGTGCTGTTGTGTATTGATCTTTGGCTCCTCCGTTTAATTCATGGGGCGTTTCGTTTTTCCATTTCGTGCTGCTTTCAGGATAGTGAATGCTTATGCTGTATATAATATTCGTGTATTATCCCCCTAGAAATGAAGATTTATGATAGCTTTGTGGGCAATCGTATATCTGTTCTTTTTTTTTTCAAAAAAAATTTCTTTTTTTTGTGGTCTGCATCTTACCGTCACTAGAGATGCTTGGAGAACCTTAGCGAGCTACCCTTTTTGTTTTGTTTTGTTTTTTGTTTTGTTGGAGGAGCTTTTGTCAGTGCGCCTTTACTTGACAAGTACTCTCTCGAGAGTGTCAAGGTTTAGTTTCTTTGGCGATTCTTTTGTCAGGATAAGATCATAGCTTTACCCCTTTACAGTGTGAAGAGCTACATTCTCTCTTTTTGGGTGATGTTCTTGTGATGTCTTAGGAAAAAAAGATGAAGATCGTGATGGAGTTTGCTATCAGTCTGTAACAACTGCAACTTCTGTAGTTTGCAAGCGGGAGACTCTACTTTGATTCTATAAGTGTTCTCATCTGCCTTTGATTTACTTGCTCTGAGTTTACTTTACATTTCACGGGCATTGCCTTTCTGCAGGGTGCTTATTCTTCCTCATATGCCTGCCTACTTTTGTACTTGTTGAACTATCTGCAATCCCGGCATGCATGTTTAAGAATCACATCTGAATTTTTACTCACTATTGTAGTTCGAAAGATGGGCTGCAAGGATATGTTTCGTGAATCGTGTCTTAAACTTTTAGATGAATGCTCGTGAGAATGCTTTCAATTGATGAGTTGCTTTCCATCTTGTCATATTTAGATTCCTACACCTCCGTTTCAGAAAAGTGATGGCCCCGCCACTTTTAATCAGAGTAGGCAGAATGAGTCTCAAGGAATTGTTGATAATCCTTCTGAGGGCGGAATTCCCACGGTCATTGCATGGCAATATGGTGGCAGTGATGTGGTGGTAGAAGGATCATGGGACAATTGGGGATCTAGGTGAGGACTGCAATCTTTCCATTTGTTATGGTTGTTGGCTTCTATAAAACCAGTTGGAAGAAAAAGCGTCCGAGCTGACTAAAGCCGGTTAGTTGATTACTTTATATTGCAGGAGAAAACTACAGAGATCCGGTAAAGATTACTCTATCCTCATGGTCTTACGATTTGGCGTATACCATTACAAGTTCATTGTTGATGGTCAATGGAGATATAGTCCAGATCTCCCCCATACTACCGATGAGATGGGCCAAGTTTGTAATATACTGGAGGTTGATGTGAGTACTTTATAAATTTGCGGGGCTTGTGTAACTGTACATTGTGTGCATGTGAATGTGATTTAAGTACTGCCTTGTTCAAAATTGTTTCTCATGCATTAATAAATTGTACCCAGTCAGCATCTAAAGGGGGCGAGACGTGTGCTTTGTGTAAGTGATTGTTTTTGACGGATGATACCTCCACTTTATATGACTTGGTTTTTGGTGGTTCAATTTAGCTTTCATGTGATATTTGGGGGCCTATTCGCCAATTTAGTATCATTGATAAAGTCAGTTACACAAGCAAAATTGTGAATCCGAAATGTCGCAACAGATAGGGAGAGTGTTTTTTTTTTCGACATTAAAGAGATTTGAAGAGTGGTGGCTGGTTTATTAAAATGATAACATCTTTTTCGATGCTAATCTTGCTATTATGGTTGGTTTCTCATAATTTTTGTACTTCTTTTGGTACACTCTTAAATGAACAGATTTTGATCAAATATTAACTGGATACTAGATAACTAACTCTGAGCAGTGCCATCTTCTTTGTCACTTTCTTTTGGATGGGATTTTTTGTTTGGAGCGGGGTAAGGCAAGTTTGCGATAGCCTACTTTTTTATGCTGGAGGCAAGCAAAATATAAACTTGTAGATGCATGTGATAGATGCTAATGTTCGATACACACACACACACACACGTATTGTTGGGTAAATGCTTTGTAATTTGAGATTCTTTTAGCCACCCTAGTTGACTTATTATTGTCCCATCACTTCTGTAGGATTACGTTCCCGAAAACTTGGACAGTGTGGCTGAGTTTGAGGTTCCATCATCACCTGATTCTAGCTACAGTCAAGTGCTTCCGGCCGAGGAAGAATTTGCGAAGGAGCCGGTGGTGATTCCTCCTCAGCTTCGTCTAACTGTTCTGGATACAGAAAATTCAGATGAAACTGCTCCGGTCAAGCCCCAACATGTCGTGCTTAATCACCTTTTCTTAGAGAAAGGAAGGACCCCTCAGTCTGTAGTTGCTTTGGGATTGACTCATAGGTTTCAGTCCAAGTATGTAACTGTTGTGCTCTACAAGCAGCTCAGAAGGTAAATATTTCGTTTTGTTCTGACTTTGTAAAGATAAGACTTCTCTTTTGGGCAAAGTTGTCTCGTTAATAACAACACTCTCTCATATACAGCCCTCTGCTTGGCTGTAGTACTCAAGAATCACTATGTTTCATTTTATTGCTTGACTTTTGAAGGTGAGTATCGTTTTGAAGCTGTTGTCCTCGATGTAAATTAACTCTACATTAGCAAGGAATATGAAAATTATTTCCTGCTATAGAGAAGAATCCGGATCTGTTGCAGCATCCCTAGTTGGAAACCGATGAGTGAATTCGTTTATTGGTGTGAAAAAGAAAGCGGGCCATTTGCATTGATTAGTCGCCTATGAGATCTATACACGAATGCCGCTGTCATTTGCAGCAGATTATCAATCCCTGATGCATTCCACGAGCTCAATCTGCTCAATATTTCAACAAGCAAATTATTGCATCGTATTTGACTTGAGTATGACAAAGGGAGTGTTGTAAATATTCTTTCAGAATCAGACTTTTGGACCGTATTTTCTGCCGAAAGCTTGAAAAATGCGTAGCACCGCTTTGTTCTATGAAATAGGCTAGCGCTTATCTTCTCTGCTGAACTTTGGCTTAATACCTAGCCTTCGCCGATGGAGGTTAACCTGCCAACATGATAGCCTACTGGGGGTGGCTGGTCCTGTGGTGCCGAGACGTTTAGTTTTTTGTCTCCATGTCTTGAATTTAGCTTCTGGTTTTGTTAAATATGCTTTTTGTAACAGTAATTCTCGAAATTTTCATCATCTCCTATTCTTCTTCAAAGGTGAGCGATTGTTGTCATTGATTATAGTCGATGTTTGTGACCTCAATATTCCTTATCTCGGCAGTCTTTTAGTCCCGTAGACATTCCACGTTCTAGCAAAGCAAATAATCTCATCCAGGATGAACTTAATACAATACGTCTTCCAGCGAGACATGGCGAATAGCGGATCCAGTCCCAGGACAAGATAAACTCAAATTGAGACTCTTGCCTTTTTTATTTATTGGCCTTCCTAATCTCATATATCAAGTCTCGTTACAGGACAGCGTAGGAGGCATGCACATCAGCGGTAGCATATATAGATGTTGCCTCGCCCTGTCTGTGCTAGCAGCTACAATCATTCGTTCATCTGTTCCCCGTGCTTCTGTTTCCTGAGGAAAAGAAAAGCACGAAAACCAAATTTATCAGCACCGTAACAATAAACATGCCGTACTCGGTTGTCGTCTGGAGATTTGGTGAATTTCGCATGCGCGCTAACACATTTTGCGATGGGTTGGATCATCTGATCCATCCCGGACCGGGTCTAGATAAAGAATCAACCACGGTAGAGAGGACATCGCCATTCTCTCGTACTCTGAATTGCCTTGTGCGACCCTTATCGCTACTGCTGCAATTCTTTTGCTCACGAACCTGGTTGTTCGGGTGCAACAATAGCCTATCTGCTTGACAACAGTGGACTCTAGACATGGTTTTGTTTCTCTCTTTGCGGCCATTAGAGATGAGGGTTTTACTGGCGAAGGGAAGAGAAAAAAGTGCCAATGGCATAACATGGAATCGAACGAAAGACTCTCCCACAACGGCCATATCGCCCGCAGTACGCGAGATTTAGCCATCCATTGGTTGCAATGCTATTGCATTTCTTTCGGGGACCAGACGCGGGCCATGTTAACCGAGATCTACATCTTCATGTCCTTGTAAAGCCGATTAAGGGACGATCCAATCACATCCGTAGTCAAGATGCTTTTGCGAGTTGAAGGTCACTTCGATACGGCAAACAAGCAAAAAAAGGCGAAACCGAATGATGAACAGCAAAAACAGGTTGATTAGTTTATCCCCCGTGCGATCCTTCAGCCATCTTTCAGAAATATAAGTCGAGGCAGGCAAAAGACGATTCACCTCCGTAACACATCTCCACTCAATAAAGCACCAAATGCTACACGGAATAGTTGCTTGGCGAGCCACATTATGTCGCTTTGATCAAGTAAAATCCACATGGTTCCAACTAAATTTGCTCGTCTGCAAAAAGACTTTATAGAAAAAAAAATCGAAACGTGCAAAATCCACCCACAGCTTCTCAAATGTCAGCGTTTAACAACTTCAGATTCCAGCTTGTATTTTGAAAATTCTGCTAGGCCTCGCTATTCTTTTCTGAAAATAGAAGCAACTGCCCTACAACACTGGCAGTGGCAGACAAACCCAATCACCACATACGTAGTGCGTTTCTAACAAGGTATCGTCAAATCTCAGTCGCAATGGGAAAGAGGAGAAGACGAGCGACACTTTTCCAATGGAGGACGGCAGCTCAGTAATTCCAGGGATTTGATTCTCCATATAGAAATTTGATTCGGTGGCTTTCTATAATTCCATTTTAAGTCAGTTCAGGTATATTTCACGGTGAAGTCAGATAATCACAATCGACCTGAAAAACCAAAGCAAACAAAATAACCAAGGAAAGAATTCAAAACCAGGACTAATTTTGACACTTTCCCTCTCCTCTAAAAGACCACATTCCAACAAAATGGGGAGAAAGATTTTAAAAAAATCACTCAAACGGCAATCTCTAATGACCAGGTTCGAAGGGAAAAAAGTAGATTTGCGTTCATTAGGAATCGCCCGGGCTTGGCACTACAAATTCCCCAGTGCCAACACCTCAATGGCGGATATAGGCATTTCGATCATCATGTCTATCTAAAACCAACAAGCGCTTGCATCCGGATTTAGATATAAAGTGGAGCTACAAACGTTCCATCAAATAGAGATAGGTTAAAAGATAAATCATCAACAGGAAGAATTCTTAGACATAGAGAGGAAGTAATTTACAAACTTAATCAACCAGAATAAGGATCAATCCGTCAATACAAACAAAAGCATCCAACCTCTCAAGACCAATCAAGGTTCACAATACCAAGAAAAAGGCAAATGCCAGACAGAATATCGACCGTTACCATACATTTAGGCTAAACGAGAAACGGAACAAACAAGTAGATAGCAATGAAGTGCTACAAAACAAAGCAAACAATGGAACACATAGACCACCCGACAACAGTTAAAAATGTGAATGATGATGAAAGCCTAAGGTGAAATCAAAATCTCATCGAACTTATCTGCCCTGTTCCCTTCTTTTTCTACATTTTTTTATTTTTGATAGTTAAGATGATGCATTTGAAAGGATGGGTCCTCACTTGGCCATCATGACTTTAACAAACTCTTCATAGTTGATCTGGCCATCACCATCCACATCAGCCTCGCGGATCATTTCATCAACTTCCTCATCAGTCAGCTTCTCCCCAAGGTTTGTCATCACATGACGCAGCTCGGCTGCAGAGATGAAGCCATTCTGGTCCTTGTCGAAAACCCGGAAAGCTTCCTTGAGCTCCTCCTCAGAGTCGGTGTCTTTCATCTTCCGAGCCATCAAATTAAGGAACTCGGGGAAATCAATGGTGCCGTTACCATCAGCATCCACCTCATTGATCATATCCTGAAGCTCTGCCTCAGTGGGGTTCTGCCCCAGCGACCTCATAACAGTCCCAAGCTCCTTAGTAGTGATACAACCTGAAACGAAAAAGTGTGAGCACCATTATCTCCAATACGAAAACAAAGCACCGTATATAAAATATGAGTCAGCAGAGGGAACTAGGAAGAGACTTCGGCTCGAAAGGAAAGGAAAGTAAGAGCAAAGGGGGAGAAGGGTTCCCCGGTCAGACCAAATGTCACATTGTATAGTTGAAGATGATGAAAAATAGATGATAAAAGAAAAAAAAGAAACCATAATTCGAATTGTTACCCTTTCTAGAATTCTGTCGTGCAGGTAGAATGTAGGTACAATTATAAGTCCATGTCGCGTTATGCATGGACTCTAACGCTTGATGCAATTAAGTATCCTATTATTCAATTCACATCACAAAAATTGCTCATATAGATGCTTTGGCAATTATGCATCTCCAGAACCTACAGAACTGAAGAGGTACCAGTACTAGCAAAATCCTCTCAAGATTCTCTCATTGAAGCAATTGACAACACTCTTCTGTCGATTAAGTAAATTCAACACACCATATACCGGGGCCATTTTAGGTAGATATTCATCACACTGCAAACATTAAAATAAAGACATCATCATAGCTAAACACAACATAATAAGCAAAGTCCAAAAATTAGTTCAATATTTGAAAAAAACAGTGATCACAGACTCGAGATCAAGAAACTGCCAACTTCAACTTCCTCCAACATCGAATGCGATCTGGACGATCGAAAACTCCGAAAGAGGAACACGCACGGGAAAAATTGATCAAATCGAAAACAAATCCACGAGCGCGCATACGATCCTTCAGCCGCATCGTGCAGCCAAACAATCAAACGAAGGCCAAGCGACCCGCGGATGACGGAAGACTCGACAGCGCAACGCATCACGCACGAACCGGAGAAAAACAAAGAACGACCAGAAGCAGCAAACCAGCTAGACAAGGCACCTCCGAATCTGGACCGCATAGAGAAGAAACCCGAAGCTACAAACACAACAGGTAGGTAGGTTCACGCCTCAACAAACCGCGAATTCGACCGGAATCGGAAGAAATCGCCCCGCACGACAAGCAAGCACGGGAAGGCACGACCAATCGCACGACACAGGGAGAGACGGAAACAAAAAGGGAGCATGTATCGACAGCAACGCGACGACCGAGGAAATCTCCTATCTCCCCCCCCCCCCCCCCCCCCACCCCAACCCCCTCCGTCGACTAAAGCTCGGATCACGCGCGCGCGGCGAACGACAAGCGTAACGGCGAGACGAGCGCCTCGGATCACCGAAGGAACCGCGAGAACGGAACCGAATCGGAGCAACCGGACGGCGATCGCGCGATCGATAGAACCGAACAACCAGATCTGCCGAAAAAAGGAAAAGAAAGGGAGGGGAGAAAAAAAAAAAGAAGAAAAGCACGAAAGGCCGAACAGACGCCGAGAGGGAGAGAGAGAGAGACCGTCGCCGTCCTTGTCGAATAGGCTGAAAGCCTCCTTGAACTCGGAGATCTGATCGTCGGTGAGCTGATCCGCCATGGGAGAGAGATGGAGATGGAGAGAGAGAGGGAGGGATTCAAAGTGGGAGAGAGGATGATGGCGACGAAGGAGGAGCAGGAGGAGGAGGAGGAGAATGGTTGGGAACCGCAAATGGGCGTATGTGTGTGTGCGTGTGTAAGAAATGGTCGCGCTTCGGCGAGATTATATATAATCGCCCCACCAAAAAAAATATTGAAGGAGTGGTCGGGGTGGGCCCTCACCCTCCCCTCACCCCAACCCGCCCACCCAGCGCATCCGATTCTCTTATCTTTCTCTCTCTCTCTCTCTCTCCTCTATAATAATAATTTTCCAATTCTAAAAAGGATTTTTCCTTTCCGTAAACCAAATCGAAATTATTAAATACCGCTCCTTTTTCATTTAGTGGTATTTCCATCCGTTGATTATTCCGCAATTACTGCTGCGTACACATTTATATTATGCACATAATAATAAGCTCAAGAAATTTCGAACCAAAAGTCAAAAAAAAAAACCCCGCCTCGCTCGAGAGTTCTTATTCATCGACGTCGGCAATTTCTAATTCGCGGTTTCGATTCGCGTCCTCGCCCAAAATAGCAGAGCCCGAAAATAAGCCCAAACAGGCCCCCCCCAGCCCCACCACCCCCACGTGTGATTTCGTGATTGCTTCGTCGGCATCACTCACTTTTTTGCCCAAAAAAGAGAGAAGAAAAAAAAAAAAACAATGAAAGGTAGGCACCTTTGAATTATTCAACTTCTCTCGGACGAACTTAGCAAAAGAACAAGAAAGGGGTCGGTATTGCTTCGACCGTACAGAAGCAGTTCATGTTATCTACGTGGTAAAGAATGGCTCGATCGGCATCGTTCCAAAAAACCAGGACCATTGTTCAATCTGCGCATATAACTACAGCAAGCTATAAAGTGCATCCCTTCAAATGCTACACGTCCAGAATTAGATTCTCCTACTCTTTTTGTCTTCCTCAACGAGTATGAATCTAAAGTTACCACACAAAAACAGATGCGAAGGCTTCCGTCGACGCGGAAAGCTGCCCTACGGAATAATAAAGGACACACGGGATCGGATGGAATGCGATCCGATGGTAAACATGCCCCGAACCACAACACGGAGGACGACAGCCACGAGAACAAAGACGCTCTTCCAGCTGAATCGAGGGCGGGGCCAAACTTGAAGAGTCTATTCGATTTGGCCCATAGATAAACCAAAAACGGGGAATCGACCGTCTCTCGTTTAAGTGGCTCTTTAGATGTCACAAGGGTGTGCTTGGTTCCTTGGTAAAACCGGATGAGTGGTTCAGTCCAATGTTGGAAAGTGCAATCTCTTCCCTGAATCGAACAATGAGATCGTACAAGCCGGGAAAAGATTCATGGAGTTTCAAGAAGCCGGTATACTGTCATTTCTTGCTGCTTGAAGTACCGCCGGTCCTCTTCATCCACTAGAACGAGGTTTAGATAATACTTCACACTGAATTTATTATTGATGTTGCGATACGTTGGTGTTAATTCGTATGGGCTCAGGAACAATCTGATTGGGATCGATTCGCCTGCAAGAACATTAATGAACTGCATATGTTAGTATATCTCGACGATTCGCCAAAAGAGTACATCTCTCTTGACCTTGACTATCACATTTCAAGCAAATCCAGCTACACGGTTTCCTTAATAACTGCACACAAAGGGAAATAGAAGACCCTAAAAGCAGCCAATACTAACCCGAGATATGTTAGAAACAGCACCAGACAACTTTGTAATATACTTGGACAAAAAATAAGAGGTTAGAAATTCTGTAATTATCGGTCAAAAGCAGCACTTGTAGCGTCAAACTTGTTAGCCAAATTGATTGCAAAACTATTTGACATACCCCTGACTGGAGCGCCATCCATCAACTCAAATTTAGCTAGGGTTTCCGTCTCAACGTAGGTATTATGGCCTGATCCAGTTGATTCTCGACGCCTGATCTCAAGCTCCATATTCTTTATCTTGATTCTTACAAGAAGAAAGTAGATTTTGCCTATTATAACATCCTTCAAGTGATACCTGAAATTACCAAGCACCGTAAGAAAATGTGAAGTCCAACCCTCATGTGGAACTTAGGAGGTTCTCATGACAAATCAATCCATCAGCATCAGGAGTGTATTAACTCACTTGCTTTTGTTGTATTCAAACTCAATGTGTAGGCAATCCTCGATCCCAACTTCCATCTGCAAGAAGCAAAACAAGCGGGAACAATATGGTTCAAAGAAGAGAAGCCCAATTTTGCACACTCCACAGAGCAGATCAACAAGAAAGTGCACAACAAAAAATGCAGGAAGAATAATATGGTTCAGACAAGAGGAGCCAAATCTTAGATAATTAGAGCATGAAGTGGAGAAGCTTTTGGTGATAATGACATATAAATCAAAACCTGAGAATGATGACCTGCATGCATCCAATAAGTTAAAAAAGACTTCACATGAAAGTCTGTGACTCATTAAATAGACCAGGTCTACAGAATAGAATACTTAGCATCGATACAAGTTGAAGAAAATATTTTAGAAATTAATCAACATTTCTAGCCAAATGAAGTCACACAGCAACTAAAGGCAGCAAAAGATTATGCAGGATGGAAGAATAGACTATACGTCCACCGATGATATTTCCATCAGCTATTATTATGATAACCTAATCATCAGAACATGCCTCACCTTGATGCTGTTATTGATAGGTGGAAGTGGGGTGTAATTCCGGACCTGAAAAGGAAGAGAACAGCATTATTTGGCAGAGCACCTACCCAGTTAAATCCTAAAAATTCAGCCCAGTCAATCCTTAATTGGTTCTATCTGGATTCCTAACCAAGTGCAATTAAGTGTGAAGTACTGAAATGAGTTACATCTAATTTGATCCTGTAGATGTCAGGAAGGATCATATCTCAGAAATCAGGTGCACATCTTCATTCCGGTTGATTTGATTGAAATTGTCCCAAAAAATAAACGAATGCTGCATTTAATTAAATTGAGATGTAAAAAAACCTATTACCATTGTCCAGACACGACCCAACATAGGAAAATTTTGGATTATATGGTACTTCCTATTCTCAGTGCCAGTTCAAGATATGAATGAGCCCATCTACTAAAGTAACAAAATTAATACGATCTAACACTCCCTTCAAGAAGGGGGAAGAAGAAGAAAATCCTTCTTTTAAGGCTTATGAAAGAGATACAAGGTTGATGATTTTACAGGTTGCCGTTGCACAAAGCATTTATTGCAGCAACATGATTAGCATGTGCTCTAAAAAATTAGTGACGTAAGTTCCCAGAGAAATTGATTGAGCAGGTTCAGTCAATACCACAAAATCCTGGCTCTCCACAATGTTGCTGACAATGTTTCTGCTAATCGTTGCTTTCAAAATGTACCTGCAGTGTGTAAAGAAGAGCTGGACTTGTTACTGTTTGTTTCCCCAATTGGCACCTCTGTTCTCGGACGCACATTAAAACTATCAGTATATGATGATGCACTCAACAAATTCAAGCCAACACTGATGAAAAGGGTCCTAGCAAAGAAGGTTGGCTGCTCACACAAAGAAAAAATATCGGTCCAGGAGAACTACTGCCAACGTCAATCCTAGCACTCCTTTAGTTACTACTTTAAAAAGTAAATGTCGCAAAGGTTTTTGACCTGAAGAAATTCAGCTTGATTGAATAACTTTTCTTCCATCATTGATTGTGGGACGACATTGAGCTTCTACATATAAGGCATGACGCCTATTTCCATGTTAAGCTTTATGAGGCTTGCGCGAAAGCAAACCTAATTAAAAAACTGTTTTCATAGCCTAACCCTTAAATTTTTCGAATAAGCACATTCACACTAGTTTCACAATAATTATGTCTCCTGAGTGTGTGCACTGGATTGCGATTCACCAATATCTAAAACTGGACATATCCAGACATATGAAAGTGGAGCAAATAATCTAATGCCTAAAGAATGAACACATTACCCAGGAGAGAAGGAAATCCCAAAAAACCAGTAGAGAATGACTCTCTAAATCCCCAGTATATGCTTACCTGAGTCTTACATTGACTCCATTATACGATTCGTAGGGCATCTCGACAGTTGAGAATTCAAAGGGGTACGTTTTTCCTTCATATAATTCACCGGGTACATCAAGTTCACGCACTGCACAATTTATGTTGGCAGTCATGTATAATTGGGACCCAATATTATTCAATGAGTAATTGAAACTGAATAGCAAAAAAACTAGAAGATTCTAGCACAGAGTAATTAGTTATCAGCAAAGGGGTTGATGGACTGACTCATATTATTGACATCGTGAAGGACTTATGATCTATGTAACTGTATAGTCCTTCACTCACCTAAAGAAGTAAAATCATAGAAGTTGCCCCTGTCAAAATACAATTCTGCAAAAATGAAATGGAAATGTTGTTGTCAGAAGACTCACTAGATATTAGGAAAAGCCTGCATGAATCCTGATTTGAAATACAATCATCATTTACAATTTAATCATTCAGAACAAGATCAAATTCATTGTGACAAAAATAAGCACTTCAGAAAAACTACTAAGAGGCTAGAATTCACGTCGATTGAGGTTTCCAGTTGTTTGACCATGTGAGTTATCAGATAAATAGATCAGAGAGTCTCCCAATAGCTTAAGAAAAAGAATGAACATTAGTCCCTCTCCAATTTTGTTCCATGATTATTTAGCTCCGACCAAAGAAAAATAACTTGCACAAAACTTCTATAACAGTGGAGGTCTATCATGGTATAGGAAAGTAGATACTAGTGAGTAAAGGAAAATCACGTTGACTTAATATGAGAATTTAAGACCAGGGAGTGAGAGGAAAAGGGATCAGCAACTAGATGATACCAGTGTACTGCAGCTTATTGACATTTTAAGGCAACAAACACGATAATTAAATCCATGCTCTATAGGCCACCCCATACTCTCACCCTTCTCATGCAGAAATTTTGGTTTCCCAGTTCATTAGCTCTTCTAGCCTTTACGGTGTGCCCATTTCCTATGTCTTTCAAGCTTTTTGGTGGTGGAGCCATCTTTTTCTGCTCTTTTTCAGAGAAAATCCATTACTGACCTAGACAGCTCCTTTTTGTGTGCTCCGTATAAGACAATATGAGTTTCCGGAACACAGGAAACATTGGTAAGTACCGTGCTTTCCAGTTTGTAATATGATCTAGATGGTAGTATAAGAATTTGGCTTTACTTATGGGTGCAAAAGACAAGTTATGTAACTACTGCTTTGAAACACAGACAAGTTTGGTGAATGGTAACTTGACTTTTCTAAAAAGCCTCAAGCAAACACATGCCCTTTGCAGAATCAATCTAGTTCTTTAAAAGACGTCTCCTCCTTCGTTTAACAGACTAAGAGTCCATTTAATATAGTTGAAGCCATGTAGTAAATGTGTTGTGCTATAGCTTCGTTAGGTTGTGTTTATCAAGTATATTTGGCGAAATTTTTTTTAAGATCTACAACACCTTAAAATGCGTACAACATAAACACTTAAGAAAAGCTTTCTCTATTCTGCTTTTCTTCTTTCTCTTTGGTCTTGAAATGAGAAAAGAAAAGACAATATGCAAACCTATCTGGCCGAGGAGCTCGATTTTAACACCAATGTGCTCAACCTTCTTCCCTTGCAATGGTTCAACAACAACCTAACAAGCATTCCACAAAAAGTTCACCCTCATTCTAAACATCTAATTGTAAAACAAATATGCCAAGATATAGTCTTGATGAGAGGAGTTTTTATCAAACTCCATGAAGTACCTCTCCAATTATACTCTCCTGACTTTCGAACAGAGGAACCATGACTGTTTGACCATTGTCCTTCTTCAACGGTACCTATATCATATTTAAAATCCAGAACACATTATGTACAGTAAAAGAAACACAGCTTTCAGCAAATTCCTTTCCCACGAAAAGCTTGCTGAAAATCCAAGATTTAACCATGAGAATTTTTTTAATCAGAACTTTAATTTACAAAATAGTACTTCAAGCCTCTAGTGTGATAACTATTCAGTTCTACCCAGTCAATGCAAATTTTTATCGATGATAAATACTTTTCATGCTATGCTTATGCCTACGAGGTTTGAGCTACTAGGGAGAGCTCTGACAATAGAAGTTTGCTTAACTTCTTCCACTGTAGGCTGACAGGATAGTCATTCTTATCAGCTTCTATAAAGCTTCTGAGCAGGAACGACTCATTGCACTATGAGATCTTGCTAATTTGAGAACAGTTTCTATCAACATGTAGTTCCTATGACGACAGGTTTCTTGAAGTAAATTATGATATGTCGTATTAACAGGTTTTATGAGCACCATTGTATTTTCAGCTAAATGATGTTAAGTTCCATATATTCAGTTAAGAACATCCTTTTTACAACTTCTTTCTATGTCAATTCCAGATATTCAACTAATTCCTGAACTTTGTAAATATCATCAGATCAGCTCCTTCTACAGATCTTAATGTCTTACTCTGAGATTATCCTTAGGATCCCCAACCAAAAACCAACAATTTCATGCATTCAAAGAACTAGTTTGCATGTTACAGGCTCAACTGTACTTTGCAAGATATTCATCAGTATTTTAGCACAGAGATACCTGCTTGCGTGTTCTTCCATCCGCGAATGAGATCGAAATAGTACATGGCGGTTTAAAAGCTCCAATCAGGAAATTCTGTGTGCAAATGATACAGAACCACTCCATTAGAACTCATTCTTCTCATCAAAGGAATATTATCAAGAAGAAACCAGCTCCATGAAACATTACCATGACTTTGCAATTGATATAGTTAGCAACAACTTGCCAAGCAGGAAGACCCTACAGACAGAAACGATATGTCACACCTATACAACTTCCTTCTGGTGCAAGGAAAAGAAGGAACAAAACTCGTCAATATAAATCTCTAATACATGGAATAAGAACATAGAATCTCGTCTATCGAGGACCCGTAAGCAACGGTGTGATTCAGAATTTCCTATTGACAACTATATATTTCAAAAATCGAAATAATGAAACACTATTGCAGAGTCTCGGACTTCCCATCATCTCCTACTTAATGATCACGCGAAGAATTAACTATGCAAAACCAACCAATATTGCTGTCTGTTTTTTCTTTAACTTCTCCTAGTTCTATGATCCTTGAATCAGTCGCAACGAATCACGACTGCGGAGTTGCAGTCGGTGGCCACATTTCACGCTATCGATCTGCCAATTCGCAGCATAAAAAGCCACACGGTATCTGAGTAGATTATCCACTGCTCCAAAGATTTAGCAAATTTTCACGACGGGTGAAGCATGATTCGGTCCGAAAAGATCACAATCACGTGGATCATGCTCGCAAAACTAACTAATAACTCCGAGGACAAAGCTGTACGACGCATCAGCGAAGGCTCAAATTCAGCTGCGCCATAGCTTCGACTCTGGAAACGACAAGTGGCACGAGACAGCAGCGAAAATCTCACCTACGAACTCCACGATCTCAGTCTCCGAGGACGGAATCGGCAAACGGCGGGCGCCGAAATCGACTGCACGCGAAACGCGACTCAAATCACATCAAACGAGACGGCGAGAAAACAACGGTCTCGGGAGCGCAACGATCGCGGATTTGACCGGCGAGAGAGTTACCGGGACGATCCTCGCGGCGGCGGCGGCGGCGGCGGAGCAATGGAAACGCGCGGGAAGCGAAGCGGGTTCAAGAGCTCGACGAGTCCTCCACCATGTCCGCGGTGGTCGGAGAGCGGAGCAGAGCAGGCCAACGACGAGACCACGAACCGTTGGACGGAGGAGCCCCTGATTTTGAGCGTGGTGGTTTGAGATGTTAAGTGCCAAAAATAGATAATAATATAAAGATGACTTGAATTCCGGCTCAACAATAAGTAATTATCAAATCAGAGTTGTCTGACCAAAAAAAAAAAAAAAATCAGAGTTGATTTCTTTCGAAAAAGAACCCGGGTTTATCGAATTTGTTAAGCGAATTTGTTTATCATTCGATTAAAAAAACAACTTTGTGGAACCCGGTCACGAGGGCTTTGGGCCCGACCTCGACAGACCCGAGCGTGGGCACCGGGGGATCCGAGCATCGGCACTGACGTCACGGGCCCGCCTCGATGGATCCGGACCCAGATGCCAAGGACCTAATCCTGAACATTGGGAACCCTAAACAAGCGTTGGAATTTCTGTACTCAATCGTAGAGTTACTTCATATTTTGAAAAATAATTTTTAATTTTTTAAAGTGAAAAATATTTTCTTTGAATTTATTTTTTGTCGAAATCATTTTTCTGAATTTAAGCATAGATTTTCCGTCGACTAGAAAAATATTTTTTGTCGATTCATTTTCTTAAGCGATATTCTTAGTAAGCACGCGCGGGAAAAATGCCTATATGTATAGAAATCTAATTAACGGTAACTAATAATTTATATATATATATATGTAAGTATGTGTATATTATATGCACGTGTATCCAGCGAGAAAGTTTCAAACCATATCTACCAACGTCTACCGGTCAAAGGGCCTACCCCACAAAAAGTCGTTGCATGCACGATCAGAACGTTAGGTGCAGCGAGAACACAATGCAAATCTCTTCGATTCCACGACAAAAGCGCGGATCGATCCACGGTCGATTGCGATTTCCGAGCTAAGATCGCCCATTCTTGACACGTGTCAATAGGGGTGTAAATGGTTCGATTTGGTTCAGTTTTCTTGAAAAACCGAACCAAATCGAACCGTTATGGGTGCACTATTGAACCGAACCAAATCTCACTCGAACCGAATATGAACCGAACCGAAAAACCAAATTGATTTGGTTTGGTTCGGTTCGGAGTTCGATTTTCGGTTTCGGATCATTCTTTGTCAGTGAACATGGAAAGGAACCCATCATCAAAACCAAAATTATCTTCTCTATCACCTGCTCTGCCCAGAAAAGAACTTATAAACAGAAAACAACTCTGCAAGACCAACTTTGTCAGCCCAATCTGCTTGAGCACGAAATGACAAGAACCCACCCAATCGCACAGAGCAAGCACAATGGAGGATGAGAGCGAAGGAAGAAGACCGTACACGTAGAAGGGTGTCCGGAAATTGATTTGAAACTTCGACCTACGAACCTTAACCAGCGCCACACATCATCATCTGTTTGTCTTGTCGAACTGGGTATTGTCGAGCGCGGATGGGGAGAGGTACGAGAGTTGCGGGATGGGTTCCGCTCGCCGTCTTGGCGTTGGCCGAGAGCTTCCTCGAGCGAGCGAGGTCACACGGAGACCAGCCCTTGGCCAGGATTGCCGTTCACGCGACGGTCTCTGCTCTCGATGGAAGGGCGAGCAGAGACCAGCCCCTGGCCAGGATGTCGCCTTAAGTTCTTGGAGCGACCGCTTCAGTTCCGTTGTCGCGGGTGGTGGGGGCACAAATTGCGTCCCTCGATCGGAGGAGAAGGAGCAGACGCAGGAGCCCTAAAAGCCTTTTACTTAGGGTAAAAATTGAAGGCAACAAAGGGTTTATTTTCAATTCGGTTCAATCCGAACCGAAATCAAACTGAATTGAAAAAAAAAGTTGGTTAATTTAGATAATCCGAACCGAAATGTACAAAATTTTCGGTTCGTTTCGGTTCAGTTTGTATTTCGATTCGGTTTTTCGGTTCGGTTCTGACACTCCTACGTGTCGATACGGGCATCTGCTAGTCAGTGATTAGCGCCGCCGGCGGTCCGTGACACGGGACAACGATGGAAAAAAAAACCAGAGGATCAATTTCATTACCGACCATTCCTTGAAGATTACAACACAGACTCCGGACTCTCTACGTCGGGGACAAGGAGAGACCCGCCGCTCTACAACTCCTCCGACAGTAACGAAGCACGCACTATGAACAACTGGTGCTGACATTAGCTATCTAAAATTCAGACCGAGAGGAGGATCAACAAAGTCCAAGAAAAAAGACCCCACAAAGAATGAAGATATAGACCCAATGTGTGGCCGGTTCGAAACGAACATGGACTTGAGGTTATTAACAGCGACACCTCGGGACGGCGATAGCTCTTACTTCCTTCCTTGCATGTCTTCCTCGGTTTTCCAAACGATGTCCTCGAGGCACGTTGCGAGGTTTTTATAAAACTGCAGCAGAAAATGTGGCAGGTAAATGAGAAGTTATGAGATGAGATTGCAAAGGAGAATGGAACATGACATATTCACGATACAAGCATCGGTCACTACATTCGACAGTAACACGACATTGTAACTAGAAAACATCATTCGGCTTTTTCGATTCGAAAATCCATGCAGATGCAGGTAGCTATGTGCCATTTTTATATAGAAAGCCGATCCTAAAAGCACTGGAGGATAGCGTACCTTATGGAACTCCAAAGTGTCGCCTTTAGCCTTTCGCACCTCGACCATATGAAGTGAGGGTGCCACTTGAAATATCTAATCAATGAGGAAATTACAAAATGGTGAGAAACAGAGTTCTCAAATTGCCCTAATCTTATTGAACTTCCGTTCTTGTTTACCTCTGTAGCAACATTAAGATTTCCCTTCCTTCCCGCCTTGATATTTTCGAGCCTCATCTGACAGGCACATGAGAAACAGTAAAGTGTTAATCCACATAAGCTATAGAAGACCATAACGAGCCCGTTCTCTGCTTCCACAACAGTGCATGGGAAAATCAAGACAGCCTTCCCAATAAACGAGAGTATGTTTAAGTGCCATTACGCGCTACTTGCCTTGTAGTTTTTCTTGTGAACATCGAAACCAAGGGGCTTTGCCACTTCTTCAATCTTAAGAACGATCTCATTGGCAGGGCATTTCGATGTGAACCTCGTTTCTCTCTTAAACCCCTGAAAAGAAATTACATGAATTAACTCTCTGAAGAAAAAGAGCGATGCCGACAAAGAAATTTTGGAAACTATCCCAAGCTCTTTCTATTAAATTAACTATCTAATAATTGACTCCATAATCAGCCATGAATCTCTGAGAACATAATTCAAACGAGGAAGCCCAACCCTTTGCTGGAAAAGAAAAGATTTGGAAGGATGATCAGTCTGCAAATAACAATAACTATAATGCCATTGACTCTAATACCCACAGAAGGGATTTAGAAGACGGTAATAATCATCAAAAGGCACTCGTATCAAGTGCACATTTGAGAACTTTTGGCAATTTTACAGGAAGCTTTCTGAACAAAAGATAATGATGCATGTGCTCTAGCTTACCCGTGAAACCAGCAGCATGCTAGGAAATTAAAGAATGTTCCAGCAACAAATTGTAGAAACTTTGATGATTAACTTATCTTCCTTTTCCAGATTTGCTATTCCTAAGCATGTCTGTTACTAGAAGTCCACGTCAAACATGTATAAGATGAATCGTGTTCAGGGATAATCTGATTGGGTGGTCCACAGGTGCTTCTCTTGATATAGGTTTTAAGCTATTTTCCCCACAAACCAGTACCAATTTGGTTTGAAACAGCTTTTAGTAACCAAAAGTTCAATAAAATAACCAACTAAATTGTTGGCAGGGAGAAGGAAAAAAAACTAATACAAACAACACACAAAAACACAGACAGACCTGTTCTGAGTCAAACAAATTCTCAAGTTTGAGCCCTTTTGACATGGATATTAATTCAAAGGCATTCATAGCTGTCGGCTGTTCCTCTCTCCTCTCTGTCACATATTGCTCCTGTCACAATTCCAAACAGCACGAATTTCATCAAACAACTTCTCCAAATCTCTTGTGATACCTAAGTTCTTAATTTTGAGTAAACTTTTCAACTTACTTCTGAATCCTTAAAAACAGCTTCTACATCATCCAAGTTCGTACCGTCTTTCTCATCAAAGATGGGGGGCTTGTAATTTTTCTTAAACCATGCATCTTCAAGTATTTCGGATATGGTAATGCGCTGAAATAGAATGCAGTTCGTCAGATATACAGGACATCGATAGATTCAAAGTTTAGGTATATCACTAAAATGCAGAGGCAGTTATCTGACTCCACTAAATTTCTAAGATAGAGGGAACAACAAAAATATTAAATGAAAGACAGAGAAAACAAGAGGAAGATCTCCCATAGCACTGGTCTAGAAGGCAATCCAGGAGGCGGTGAAATCAAGAACTTGGCAGCTGGGTACGGTATGAATCCCACATTAGTCCACCTCATGTTTTATTTTGCATAACGTGCTTTTAAACAGTTAAAAAAAGAATTGATGGATTCATATACTTCAAAATGTTCATTTCCAGAGAAACAACTTCAAGGTAACTCCTGGCGATAAACAAATAAGATAACAAAATAGCAGATATTGCTAGAAAATCTTATTCTGAAAGCTTTAGCACAAATTTGTCACTTAAAGGTTTTATACCAAGTGTTTCCTTACTTCTTTTCTTTTTTTGTTTTGCAAAATAACGTTCATACGATCTTCATTATCAAATGTATGAAAGCATAATTAGTTACCGTCATGGGGTTGGGATCCAATATTCGAGTTATTAGCTTCATGGCCTCAAAAGAAAGCCAAGGAGGACAAGTGAATTCAGCAGCGGATATCTACAAAGGAAGAGCCAAAGTATTAAGAATTTGGAAGACCTAAGGTACTCGGAGTACACTAAATGAAATAAAAAGAATGCTCACTTTTTTATACAGGTTCATAAGATTAGAATCATCAAAAGGCAAGTAACCTGCAAGCAATACGAAGAGTATTACTCCACAAGACCACATATCTGCCGTTGCCCCATCATAGCCTCTATCGTTAAGGACCTAGAAAAGAAGAGACAAGAAAGTCGATAAACCCAGGTTACAAGCCAAAGCAAAAAGCAGAGAGTTATACAAAGTGTCATCATAGTAAC